CATCCATCCATCACCATCCATCCATCCATCATCCATCCATCCATCCATCCATCATCCATCATCCATCCATCATCCATCATCCATCCATCATCCATCATCCATCCATCATCCATCCATCATCCATCCATCCATCCATCCATCATCCATCATCCATCCATCATCCATCCATCATCCATCCATCCATCCATCATCCATCCATCCATCCATCCATCCATCCATCATCCATCCATCCATCCATCCATCATCCATCATCCATCCATCATCCATCCATCCATCATCCATCCATCATCCATCCAGCCATCATCCATCCAGCCATCCATCCAGCCATCCATCATCCATCCATCCATCATCCATCCATCATCCATCCATCCATCCATCCATCCATGCAGCCATCCATCCAGCCATCCATCATCCATCACTCTAACATCTGGATCAGGATCCATCTCACTATCAGAGATCTTCCACACATTCAGAACTCAGTTAAAAACCTTTTTAAAATCAAAGTAACAATGCGCTCATTAGACCTTGCTGATCTCCTGCTCCCAAATGTCAGGATCAGGTGTTACTTTGTAAATATCTACATATTTATGCTAATGTCTGTGTTTGAACTGCATCATCTGCCCTCATAAGCATCTTGGGTCAATTTTCTAAAATGTCTATGTTTATTATTATTTTTTTAATAATTGTTGTTGTCCTTATACACCTTGCCCAGGGACAGCAGTTGAAAACTAGCTGCATAACTAATACTGACACATTTGCAGCAATGCTCATTAATGTGTCCCTGACAAATAAACTGATAAATAAATAATTAGCAAAGACGTCGTCAACTTTGAAACTTAAAAGCATTCTGTAATTTCCAGAACTTTTCTAACAGACAGAGCATCCTTTTTATAATCTTTTATTCTGCACCTTTTGTTTCTGTTTAAGTTTTTATTTTTGGGTTCTAAAGTATGCTTGGTTTTGCTCAGTGCTGTTTAGATTTAGATCATTTTTTGTATTGTATTCTTCTAGTGGTTTCATCTGGGAGAAAAACACTGACAAGCTCAGAGTCAGTATTAAGTCTAGATGACAGAAGAGAGCAGATGGAGTTAGCCCAGGTAAAGTTCAGCCAGTGCCTATAGAAGAGAGGAACAGTTAGCCAATGAGAGACTAAACCAGGTGGATCATCTATAGAAGAACAGGAAGCAGCAGCACAGCTGATATTTCTCTCCAGGATGGAGTCACAGCCAAACAGGAACAGACCAGATGAAGCTACTATGAGAAAAAGCAGAGAGAGCAGAACGTTAGAGATTGAACTAACAGATTCTGCAGAGTGGGAGAATAGAGATAGAATGAAGCAGAATGATGAAAAAGGGGTCCCTATGTCCTCCAGCAGTCTAAGCCTATAGCAGCACAACTATAGAGATAGATCAGGATAACCTGAGCCACTCTAACTAGAAGCTTTATCAAAAAGGAAAGTTTTAAGCCTAGCCTTAAAAGTAGACGGGGTGTCTGCCTCACGGACTAAAACTGGTAGTTGGTTCCACAGGAGAGGAGCCTGAGAACTAAAAGATCTGCCTCCCATTCTACTTTTAGAAATTCTAGGAACCACTAGTAAACCTGCAGATTGAGAGCGAAGTGCTCTGTTAGGAACATAAGGAACAATCAGATCTCTGATATAAGATGGAGCTTGGCCATTTAAGGCTTTATATGTGAGAAGGAGGATTTTAAATTCTATTCTGGATTTAACAGGAAGCCAATGAAGAGAAGCCAGGATAGGCGAGATATGATCTCTCTTTTTTATTTTCATTAGAACTCTGGCTGCAGCATTTTGGATCAGCTGAAGGCTTTTAACTACAGTTTGTGGACTTCCTGATAGTAAAGAATTACAATAGTCCAGCCTTGAAGTAACAAATGCATGGACTAGTTTCTCAGCATCACCCCTGGACAGAAAGTGTTTTATGTAGTTTTATCAAAGATTTTTGAACCCCGGGGAATTTTCTGGCACTGACAGCATCATTGTGATCAAAGATGGAGGTAACAGACCTTAGTTTCTATCATTTCTTAGAGGCTAGAATGCTAGGCTGCTTTTAATCTCTTTGTTTCCTCCTTGATTTGTGGATAGAGCAGATATCTGGGCTTCATTTTTTGCAGTAGATTTACTGACTTTCTGTTTTCTTGGTCTTTTTTCCAGATGGGTGGAACTATGTACAACACAGGGAAGCATGTGTCACTGCGGCCAGACAAAACACATCTGGTTAACATCTCTGGAGGACCTCTGAGTTACAGCTACCGACTGGAAGAGGTCCGTCTCCACTTTGGGAGTGAAGATGCTCTCGGTTCAGAGCACCTCCTAAATGGACAAGGCTTTCCTGGAGAGGTAAGACAGAGTCCTTGTCCATCCATCATCCAGTGTCCATATTTTCTAACAGTGTAGCGACCAAATGAAGGCCAACAGCAGCATCCTGCCTGGCTGTCAGTGTTACCAAAGAAAATGATCTCAGTCCAGTTTTTCTTGAACCCCTGATAGAAACATTGGTTCCTGTAAATAATGAAGAACAGAACACATGGATCATGAACCTATGGGTTCTGCTAGCTCTCGTTCTGTTTGTGTTTCAGGTCCAACTGATCCATTATAATCAAGATCTGTACGCCAACTACAGCGAGGCAGCTAAGAGCCCCCATGGCATTGCTGTGGTCTCCATCTTCATCAAGGTTGGATTTTCCCTTTGAATGTTTCCATTGTAAAACAATAGACCTGACCAGGAAGCTCAGGATGATTCAGCTCCGCAGCATAAAACAGTCTTTAGTCAAAATATCTGTGTTGCATTTGTGTTTGACTCCTTTTTCTACCATTGCAGCTCTCAGAGAACTCTAACTCCTTCCTCAACCGAATGCTCAACAGAGACACCATCACCAGAATTAACTACAAACGTAAGACTGCTGCGGTTTCTCTGACATACAGTCGTCAGCAATGATGCTTTCCTCTCAATCCAAAACACACATTGTGTTCAACGGTCTGGTTGGTAGAGGGTCCAAGGAACATTTCATATTAGAAGTTTTCCTCTCGTCAGAAGGTCTTCTTCACTTTAGATTAAGCCAAACTTCAACCTGTTTGCTAAGAGTCCTTTATTTGTCCTGATCTTACATGCAGATCAGTCTGCTTTAATAATAACTATTTAATCTCATCCTGCTAAAACAAAACAAAGAACAAACAGATATGATAGAGTCCACTGCACTGCTGGAAGCTATGCTCCAAACGCACAAAACCAGTAAAGCTCTGAGTCCAGAGGTGTTTGATCAGGAGGTCGACCTTCAGCCTGATATAATCCACCACCATGGAGTATCCTTTCTTTATGTGGCAACTTAGACCAATAAATTATCCCTTCGGCTGACCGGTCAGCGTTCAAGACTTTCACCTGGGAGTCTGGGGATTCAATCCCGCCCAGGCCCCAGGATCCATGTGCCATGCAGGTAAACGGTCCATGGTTTCCTAAATGGCAGCCCGCATGGAACATGACAATGTGCTTGTGGGTGCAGAGGAGGGTCCTGTCACTCTGCCTCTGACTGATCATGTGCCGTGGCTCGTTGGCCAAGGGATTAACCCTTAGGCTGACTGGTCGGCCCACATGGCTTGAATCCCAGGGTCTCTGTTGTTTACCTTCCTTTTTAGATAGTTACATTTTCAATCCAGCAGGACAGACACGTAGTCTCATCCCACTTCTGTCTGGTTCTACTGCTCTGGTATTTTCCAGACTCTGGTCGCTGGACCCAACATCCAGCAATCTAAAATTTAAAAGCTAAATGATTACAGAAGGTTTAGATTGTTATAATTGTTCTGATCAATCCTCCTAGCAACCTTGATGAGCCTTCACCAGCGTCATGTGAGGACGGTGCAGATTGTAAAGGAAAGTTTGACTCTTTACCTTTTTCTTCTGTTTTAACTTTTTTTTATTTCATCTCTAAATCTACATGATCAGAAAAATAAGTTGAATATGCAAGGGTTCAAATGGTTTCAATGTTAGTTAATACAAAGAAATCCAATCTTACCCATTAAATAAATAATTGCCCATCAGTTGATTACTTCTTGTAAAAATGTTTGCAGCATCATCTGCCACCGATGTTTTACAGAAATCAATCTTTTACACCTCAGTGGGAAAATCAGAGGCCTTCCCAGCATGGACAACCATTATGGCCACAGATTTCTGCTCTGACTCAATCCCAAAATGCTCTTTAAGCTACAGTCTCAAACTGATGGTTGGACATTTCACTTCTATTCAGTTTATTTCTATAGCTCCAATTCACATCATGTCATCTCAGGTCACTTTCCAGTTCAACCAGATCATCCAGTCAGATTGATTCAAAGTTTTCTATCTAAGAAAAACCAGCTGATTGCATCGACTCATTGACTCTTCAGCAATCCCTCACACTAAGCATGCTTGAAACGATGGCTGCTCACACTGAGCCTGGTTCTGCTGGAGGTTTCTTCCTGTTCAAAGGGAGTTTTTCCTCTCCACTGTCGCTACAAGCATGCTTAGTGTGAGGGATTGCTGAAGAGTCAAGGAGTCGATGCAATCAGCTGGTTTTCCTTAGATAGAAAACTTTGAATCAATCTGACTGGATGATCTGGTTGAACTGGAAAGTGACCTGAGATGACATGATGTGAATTGGAGCTATAGAAATAAACTGAATAGAATTGAATTGAATTATTTTGCTTGATACAGAGAGAGCATAGTAGGTAAAAATATAAGAGTGGGGTTTAACTCTGCACAATTCTATATCTTCAAAACACAATACTGTATTTCCCTTCTATCTTAGTCGTTCAAATGAAACCATTTTCAAAGTGGAAAACAGTCCTAATTCCACATTCATCAGAGCCACTGATACTTCAATCATTGATAAACAGCATCTAGTGAGTTTAGTGCTTCTAAATTATTTTATTAATGTAGCAAATGCTGCTTTTCTCTTTAAACAATGAATTCCTCTTATCAGTACTGATGCTCACGTCAAGCATAAAAAAGGGCATATGGCATAGCATCAATGACAACACAGCAATAGTGTCCCTACCAAAGTTCAAATCAAACCTACGCCTGTCATGATTGGTTTAACCAATCTGACCCACATGCAAAGAAACCAATCAGAGAGCACGGAAAAAGGTTAACAGCATTATTGAAGGGGTTAAACAGGAGTCGATCTGGAACTCACTGAGCTGGTAACCCTGAAATGGAAGGGAGAATAAAAATTCAGTGGTCAGTTCAGGTTCCGTGGGAATTTCGAAAGCACGTTGGAGGGCGGACAGGTTTGACAAGCGTTGGAACCCGGAGGAGTAATGGAGCGGACTGTCACTCGGATTTCCGATGGGTACTTGAACGGAACATGTGGAGGTTTTCTGCTGCTCGGTGTAACTCGGTTTTTCCTTCCAGGGGAGAGAAGGTCCAGGAATCCAGTAACAAAGGAAAGCTTCCTGCTGGGGAACAAAGACAAAAATTCATTAGACTCTAAGAAACAAAGCTCAGGTTAGACTCAGCTAAACTCAGTTTGGCTAGAGTACCCAAAACTAGCAGACACTCTGGCGTTGAGGTAGTGACAGCCCGCCGCTCAAATACTCCTCCAGATAATGATTCAATGAGCCGCAGGTGTGCAGGGAGGGACAGCGAAGACAGGGCACCTCCTGGTGTTGGAAAACGGAGACACAGAGACAGGCCACACAAACTGGATTCCTAACACCCTAGTCTTTGCCTGCCTGTTCCCGTTCTTATCTGTTTGCCTGACCTGTCTTTGGACTCCTGCTCGATTCTGCCTGTTGATCAAATCTGGATCTGCTTCCTGACATCGATCTTAATTTCCGTTCAGTAAGTCTTCGGCTCTCTGATCATCTGGCCCAGACTCCTGTGAACCTCATCGACACTGGTGTTGACTTTGCCTTCCGGATTATCCCCCCTTCCTTCATCCATTTGGATCTGATCTCCTTCCAGTTCTGCAGTTTTCAAGACTTCAGTATCTGGGACTCTCTAGGCAGTGTTCGCTGCATGGTGTCGGAGCCATTCACTGGAATCCACCTCTTCTTCTGGGCACAGACTGAACTTCAAGCCAGAGGTTCCTGTCTTTGACATCCTTGCTCTTAACTGCAGATCCTGTTTTTAATAAATGCCTTTTTGAGAAATTTGTCTGCCTTGATTAGTGGGGTCCTCTGTTCTGAGCCTTGAAAGGAGCAAAGCCAAAGAACAAACAATCCAACCCAGATTTAAAAATACTTCTAACAGGATGAACACCACCTCTAGATGATAAAACCTGACCAAAACTTCAGAGAAGCACGTCTTCTACTTCAACTATCAACAGGTGCAAAAAAAACTAAGAATAAGGAAGGACTCACTGAGATTAGTAACCAATCAGCTGACTGAGAATCTTCATCAGCAGATACTTAGATTTTATTTGTCATTTTGTTTACACAAGTGTAAAACAAAAAGAAATTTTGTTTGGAAACAGCTCTGGACAATTTCATCTCATTTAAAAGTGCAGCCTTGAAAAATAGTTAAAAAAAAAAAATAAATAAAAATAAATAAATAATTAAAAACAGTCATATAAACATATGACTAAATTTACAGTTCTAACATTTTTTTTTTTCTATAACCCCCTTAAACCAATTTGTTAGGTCCTTATTAGGACCCTGAATAACTTGACTGCAGCTTTTTGATTCAGGTGTGTTGTAAGACCAAAATATCTAAAGGTCACAGGAAAGTTGGGTTAATTAAGTTAAAAGGTTGAAATTTCAACTAAACCTATTTTGTCTCCTTCTTTAGATGATGCATTCCTACTGATGGGCCTGAACATAGCAGACCTTTACCCCGACACTATACGCTACATCACCTACGAGGGCTCCATAACGGTCCCTCCCTGCTATGAGACCTCCACTTGGATCATCATCAACAAGCCAGTTTATGTGACACAGATGCAGGTAGGATTAACGTCTTCAAATCAGGACAGATAAACATCTGAGAATCAAATGAGCAGCATAAGATTCTGTTACTGAAATCCTAAAGAAAGTATGAACTGAACCGGCAACAAATTTTAAGCCAAAATAAGGCTTTTTTTTTGGTCCACTCTAAAAAGCCTTCAACTAAATGCTAGTTCTGACATTTTAAATTGAAAAAGCTTCCTGGATGGGAAGCAAAATGTCTTTAGATTATGGCGTGGATGACTTCGAATCTTCACCAGCAACATTAGAGATTGAACTAACAAATACTGCAGAATGGAAGAATAGAGATGAAAAGGGTCCCTTTGTCCTCCAGCATTCTAAGCCTATAGCAACACAATTATAGAGATAGCTCAGGATTTTGGGTCGTTGACAAGACACTGTCTGGATGGAGTAAAGAGTGGGTAACAGTAGAGAAGCTGCAGAGAGGTCTGTTAAACTAGGACTCTGCTTCCTGGTCTGCACCCTGGGTGGTCAGGGTTTTGGAGGACTAATAAATGTGGCCAGATTCCTAGAAAGAAGAGCTGCACCATCCAAAGTGGGATGGATGCCGTCTCTCCGAATCAGACCAGGCTTTCCCCAAAAGGATTGCCAATTATTAATGTAGCCCACGTTGTTTTCAGGGCACCACCTAGACAACCAGCGGTTGAATGACGACATGCGGCTAAACATGTCATCACTGGTCAGATCAGGGAGGGGACCAGAGAAAACTACCGAGCCCCACATTGTTTTGGCAAACTTACGCGCCGAAGCAACACTGATTTTAGTGACCTCCGACCTCTGACCATAACAATCTAAATACATAAATCTCAATAAATAATTGTGTTGAGGAGAACGGGCCCCCAGGTGCTTAAAACATCAGCACTCCAAATATGGATGACTTTAGTACAAGCAGACAGAAATACCAGAATCATTATTACACCTTTTTTTAAAAATGGTTGCCTCTGATCCAAGCCTGTTCTGTGGTCCTGTAGGTGTTACCCAAGACGTCTATGCAATGATAGATAGTTCAGTCGGATAGGAATGACATGAGGCTTTCAGCAGGCCAATAATCACAACTCTACCGCGTCTATTTGGAGGTTCTCATCTGTATTTTCTTCATAATTTCCTAAATTTATTAAAATAGTTTTTCTACAAATTTAAGGAAAATTGTGTTTTTTTCTGGGACCCATTTGTTAGTTAGTTCATCTCTAGTGGTATATCAACCAGGAGCTGCTGTAAACTCTCACCTGTACATTGTCTGCAGACAAAACAAACTGGAATAGATGTGAAACTTAACATATGTCTTTTATGTAGAGAATAAACATTATTGGTCCCAATAAAGACACCTGGAGGACACCATAAGCAATGTCCAGCCGTTCAACTTTGTCATGCGAGCCTCTGCCATTATCTCTATTCATTAAATTCATGCCAAAGATTGGATCTTTGTGATCTACATCCTTACTGAATACCAGAAATTAGTTTATTTCTATCAATAAAGTTCTCCAATCTACTAGTAAAATAAAATAAAAATCTTAAATCTTGGAAACCTGTGGAAGTAGAGAAACAGGCTTATAGTTTTTACAGTTATTTTCCTTCTGTTGAAGCTAAAACAAGCAGGTTATATTTAATCATAGACTAAACATTCCCTCACATCTCAGTTTACTGTTAATCTGTGAATAAAAATCAAAGGAAGTTTCTTCTTTGAGGTGCTGCTGTGGTGTGGAGGTAGAGTGCATGACCCAGCTGTCACAAGTCCGAGTCCTCGTCCTGCTGACCTTTGCTGAATGTCTCTCCCCTCTCTTCTAACCCCCTCTCATGTCTGCATTCTTTCAAACATTGCAGAATAAAGGCCACTAGAGAAAACTAAAAACAGACCTTCCTCCTGTTGAGAACCTCACCCTTTCAGCACCTTGTTTGTCTCCCTTTTTGTAGTCTGATGCTGGTGTTTCCAGGTTGCTTGGTTTGCCATTCGAACTGCTGTAAGCTTCTGGCAGCCAGTCACAGGATGCTTCAGTGGGGAGAATTCAGTGACTGACATCATCAGTGGCCTTGACTTGGTTGTCCATTCGATGGGCGTAAAAGAGGCTTTGATTGCGATAAATTTACATTTCAGTCAATCCTTTTGTTCTCTCTCTGCTTCGAATATTTTACTCTAAACTTCTTATCTTTTAGGCAAAAACAGTAATAAAAGTTGGACTAAACTACTTTAAAGGCACACAGTTTAACTTTTGGCCCTTAGGGGCGCTATACATGTAACTTCCAGTACTGTTGCAATAGTCAACAGTAAGCCAGCCGGCCTCCATGTCTTTATATTGGGGGCGGCGCTAGGCGTCTAGGTTCAGCTGGGAGGGTTAAAAAAACTGCTGTACTCTGGAGAGCTCCGCCGGGACAGGCTGGACGGCCGTTACAGGCCACGCCGCGCCGCGCCGCGCCGCGTGGAGGACCGGAGGCAGAGCTCCAGTGTAGGGCCAGGGGGCGTTCATCCAGTCACATGACCTGGCCAACCACGGTACATTTTCTCCCAACTTGCAAAGGTGGTATTTAAGGAAGGGAGCCATTGATAGTGTCAGTGCTGCATATTGACATGTGTTCTGAATTAACGCTATAGATATACACTGAATTAAATTGAACTTTATTTTTTCTATTTTGAAGTTTTAAAATTCCTTTTTTTAAATAAAAACTGTGTAATTTAGTCCTTGTTTCTAGCACACTTTCTAAATTGTACTTAATGGTGCTTAATGTCATTAACTGGTTAATCTTTAATCTGTTCCCACAGATGCACTCTCTGCGCCTTCTCAGCCAGAATGAGCCGTACAAGATCTTTCTGAGTATGAGCGACAATACGCGGCCCGCGCAGCCTTTGCTGCAGCGCTGCATTCGAACCAACATTAACTTCAACAAGCAGGGCCGTGACTGTCCCAACAACCGTGCCCTCCGCCCGCAGTACAGAGGTAACCTGACTGGTAGATCAAATCTTACAAATAATCTGCAAAGTTTCTCACAAAGTCTCCAGATGGCTATGAAAAGTTCAGATTGTTAAATAGTCTATAGTTAATAGAAAAAACACACTGTTGAACTAAAACGAATGAGACATTGAAGGTTCTGAACTCTGCTGTTCTTACAGTATTAATCTGCCTTTTATAATTATGCGTCTTAACTTTTCCAACCTAAAAGAAAATCTCATCCTTCATTTTACTAAATGAACAAAAATACATTTTAGATTTGAATTATTACATGACAGACACATATAATAACATTTCTTAAATAATTATTCTGGATCAAAGATGTTAACGGAGTCGATTATAGTTTGTTGTCGTTTTGATGTTTACTGATTAACACCGATTTAACTCGCAGAGACTTCTGCAGAAACAAGTATAATTTAATGATTTTATTGTCTGAATAAAATGAAAAAGGAGAAATGGGGAGGAAAGGGGATGATGGGTTGAAAACAGGAAGAGGAGAAAATGGAAGGCAAGACGCTCTCTGGGTGGGGGTCTGATCTAAATGAGCTGCTTGGTATAAACTATAGATGACCATCCAATCCGGTTCTATCCAGTCCCCAGCATCCATATGGTCCTCTCATACCCGTGGCTGCCAGGCAATCAGCACCAAGGTATCCCCCCCTCCTGTAGGCCGAGTATGGCCCACCAGCCACCGGAGCCCAGGTGCCACACACCCCTCAGTGTCCCCCCCCACCTGACTGCAGGCATAGGCAACACACTTGGTCAGGGCAGGCAGTAAGGCAGATCCACACCACAGGTGATTGTTTCCCACCTGCTGTACAGCCACGCCAACTAGCCCACCCCCCCACCCCTGCAGGAAAGGGGCCAAACCCTCCAATGTCCCTGATCCCCACCCAATGCCAGGAACCAGCATCCCCCCCAGCAGCAAGCAAGATATCCATGCCTTAAGAAGGCCGGAGAGACCAAGGAGAGTCAGAAGCTCAAGCCAAGACATGACCGACCCCAATGGCCCCCCTCCCCTAAGCAGGAGCAACACAGCCTGCATCTAACATAGCATGGTTTATAAATAAATTAAAGTTTCACACATGAGGATGTGTTCTTTTCCACATCAAATGGGACGTGTGAAGATGCAGGAACACGTTTTAGATGTCTGATGATTTTGCTTGGAAAATTATCACCGCTGCTCTAGATGCAGCTACTTTAGCATCTGTGCTGGTTTGACTGGAGTCATGATGAACTGGAGTCAGCATGTTCACAGATATCACCAGAGGCCTGGAAATACGCCGTTCTGTTCATGTGTTGGAGGAGAAAGCATTTAAGACTTTTAGCTGTTTTGATGACTGGAGATAGAAAAAAGCAGAGGAGGAAATAAAACACCTGTGTTTGCTGTAAGTTTACTGCAACACATTCATTTTGCTGCAATAAAGGCTGCGTGGGAATGATTATGAAATACCAGACTGACCTGAGGAACCAGCCTTTGATCCACAGCCCCTGACGGAGCTAAACCAGCTTTTCTCTTCTCTCTTACAGATGTTTCCTTCTGTTGTTTTAGATTTATAACAAACTGCAGATTATTTCCATGATTATTTCTTTTCTACTCTGATATTTTCTACCATTCAGTGAACCAGTGGCTCCTGAAGTAAGATGGAAAAGGTTTGAGCGCCGCCGGAGCAGCTGGACGTCGGAAAGGGAAGGAATGGCTTCCTTCACTCCTCCACCTGTGGGAGCTGAATGAACCGAAGCTGCATGGAGGAAAGAAGGACTTTACTAAGGAGAGCTTTACTAAAACAACAGCTGAGTTCAGCTAAACTGAACCTGAGACCGACTGCAGGCCTGCTACACACACCCCCACCCCCGCACACAGACATGATGTGGTTCAGCACGATGCGTGTCATAGAGAATAAGCACAGTACTTTGTTGTGTTGTTTAAAGCCGGCCGTACACTGAATGATTTTTTTGCCCATTTCGGGCCGATTCTCCAGTCATGTGAGAATTTTATGATCAGGCCGACTGTCAGCCTGATGGTGCGTGGTGTAGGGACCAGGGGGTAACTAGGGGCGATCAGCCTCCAACGACCACCCCCCCATCAGGAATCAGAAGGTCAGGAGAAAATTAAACATTGAAATTCAGTCGGCCATCTTAAGGTGGTCGTGGGCAAATCGCTCAGTGGGAAAACAAGGATTCTTCTTCTTCTTCTTCCTCTCAGAGGAAAACCCAGCATCATGGCGGGGGTGCAGTGAGTGAAATGGAGTTCTTTCTGTCAAACTGCCAGACCGTAGTAGCCACGTTAGCTCAGCCATGTCTTTGTCCAAATACGTCGTCTTCTTTTCTTTTTAGGGCTTTCAGCACTAAATCGCCCAAATATCCAAGGCAGCGCGTTTCACTCTAGTGAGCTTCATGTTCCTCTGCTACTGGTTTGGCTTCCAGATAGACGAGTCCGAGTAGCGCCATCTCACTGCGGAGCTGAGTCCCACCTGGTTTTTAGACGTACAGTGTGAGCAGGTAGATCGCATCAGAGCGTCGGGTCGCACAGCGTGAGAACAAACATGGTGAGCTGGGAACGTTTAAACCCTGCGGTTTGATCGTACCGTCTGAGCTGTAGCTGCACGCAATGATTGAGATTATCGTAGAGTGTACGCCCGGCTTTAGACTCAGATTTTCTGACTGGTTTTCACACGGATGAGATATACAGGTGCTGGTCATAAAATTAGAATATCATGAAAAAGTAGATTGATTTCAGTAATTCCATTTAAAAAGTGAAACTTGTATATTATATTCATACATTACATACAAACTCATATATTTCAGATGTTTATTTTGTTTAATTTTGATGATTACAAATGACAACAAATGAAAATCTCAAATTCATCATATCAGAAAATTAGAATATTACTGAAGACCAATAAAAACAAAGGATTTATAGAAATGTTGGCCAACTGAAAAGTATGAACATGAAAAGTATGAGCATGTACAGCACTCAGTATTTAGTTGGGCCTCCTTTGGCCTGTATTACTGCAGCAATGCGGCGTGGCATGGAGTCGATCAGTCTGTGGCACTGCTCAGGTGTTATGATAGCCCAGGTTGCTCTAATAGTGGCTTTTAGCTCTTCTGAATTGTTGGGTCTGGTGTATTGCATCTTCTTCTTCACAATACCCCATAGATTTTCTATGGGGTTAAGGTCAGGAGAGTTTGCTGGCCAATTAAGAACAGGGATACCATGGTCCTTCAACCAGGTACTGGTAGCTTTGGCACTGTGTGCAGGTGCCAAGTCCTGTTGGAAAATGAAATCTGCATCTCCAAAAAGTTGGTCAGCTGCAGGAAGCATGAAGTGCTCTAAAACTTCCTGGTATGTGGCTGCGTTGACCCTGGACCTCAGAAAACACAATGGACCAACACCAGCAGATGACATGGCACCCCAAACCATCACTGACTGTGGAAACTTTACACTGGACTTCAAGCAACGTGGATGAAGTGCCTCTCTTCTTTTCCTCCAGACTCTGGGACCTTGATTTCCAAAGGAAATGCAAAATTTACTTTCATCAGAGAACATGACTTTGGACCACTCACCAGCAGTCCAGTCCTGTTTCTCTTTAGCCCAGGCAAGACGCTTCTGACGCTGTCTGTGGTTCAAGAGTGGCTTGACACAAGGAATGCGACAGCAGAAACCCATGTCTTTCATACGTCTGTGTGTGGTGGTTCTTGAAGCACTCACTCCAGCTGCAGTCCACTCTTTGTGAATCTCCCCCACATTTTTGAATGGGTTTTGTTTCACAATCCTCTCCAGGGTGCGGTTATCTCTCTTGCTTGTACACTTTTTTCGACCACATCTTTTCCTTCCCTTCGCCTCTCTATTAATGTGCTTGGACACTGAGCTCTGTGAACAGCCAGCCTCTTTAGCGATGACCTTTTGTGTCTTGCCCTCCTTGTGCAAGGTGTCGATGGTCGTCTTTTGGACAACTGTCAAGTCAGCAGTCTTCCCCATGATTGTGTAGCCTATAGAACTAGACTGAAAGACCATTTAAAGGCTTTTGCAGGTGGTTTGAGTTAATTAGCTGATTAGAGTGTGGCACCAGGGGCCATCAATTTTGAACCTTTTCACAATATTCTAATTTTCTGATATGATGAATTTGAGATTTTCATTTGTTGTCATTTGTAATCATCAAAATTAAACAAAATAAACATCTGAAATATATGAGTTTGTATGTAATGTATGAATATAATATACAAGTTTCACTTTTTAAATGGAATTACTGAAATCAATCTACTTTTTCATGATATTCTAATTTTATGACCAGCACCTGTAAAGACAGAAGTTTTTGCTCCAATCCAGGCTTCACAGACTAATCATAGCTTTTTATCGGTCTCTGGAAGAAGGGATGTTTTTATTGAATGACTTGCAATAAACAAACCTCAGCTGTGGTGGTTAGAATAAAAAATATAACTCGTCTCTTAAATAAAAAAGAGAAAATGTCATTTTCTAACAGAACGGTAATTTCACTTACAATTCATTGTGTAAATATTATGTTGTTTACAAAAAACGGATAATTGCTTTGGACTTTGAAATGTAGTAATTGAGAAGATTACTGTGTAATAAAAGTGGTTTTACAAGATTAAATCTGTTTTAAAGGCTTTATAAGTGTTTTGAATAAGTTCTTCTTAAGTCTGATTTGTTTCATGTTCTTTTTCTTCCTGATTGTAGCTTTTTTATACTTTTACAGTAATTTTATATATTTCTTGTCTTGTAAACAAATGTACAAACTCCTAAAACTTAAAGAGCCGTTATTCATCCGATCCTAAATAAATCATCAGAGTCTCTCAGAGCTTGGACCTTCAGAGGGATCCCGTCTCACTCAGAGGGACTCGGAGCGCCTGGTGAGGAGGTGTGGCTGACCCTGTTGCTAGGGGTGATGCTGTCTTCTCACAGCTGTGATTGGCTGGTGCAGGAAATAACAACATTGAAATGAAAATCAAATATGATGATGAGAGAAAGATGTTAGGATCTGATCCAATCAATGACTGTTATGATGATGAAACTTCATCATCATCATTAAAAAAGTTTGGACCTACTCGCCATCTGCATCATGCTCCTGATCTGTTTATATAAATGTGGCCTCGCCTGTCAGTGCTTTTCTGCTCGTGCGCACTGTTTGCATTGCTCATACCAGCTTACTTTCAATTTACCACTTTTCCACTATGGCAGACTCACCACCGGTAAGTGAAAATGGGGACGAGCATGTACAATAACTATAAACATGAATACACATCTACATATTACGTGTTTTTTCTCTGGTCAGAAGTTCGATGGCAAATCCTCCCTCTTCAAGTTGGCGATCCAACGACCAACCCGTCCGTGGAGGATCAGGAATCAGAAAGTGTCATGATTGGTAACTGAGTAAGCCCAATATGCAGAACACAAACGGAAGCTGACGAAAAGTTTAACAAGGTTTATTGTTACACAAGCACATGAATATTTCAACTGGAACTGGTTCAGGCCTGGGGGCAGGTTCACTGGAGTCTGCAGAGATGATAGTTCAGTTAGCGCAGGAACAGATGAGTTATGAGACTTTGAGTTAGCTGAAGAATACCTTGAAGGAGTCCGGATTTCTCTTTGAGAGAGGTAACTGTTGGGTCCAGAGACTGTTTGTTCAGCAGAGTCCAATAACTGCTTCAGCGTCTTACTTCTGACTAAGAGGGCAGACCCCAAAGGACTGGTGACAACTGGTTTTATCTGGGAGACGTGGAACGTGGGATGGATGCGGAGACTCGAAGGAAGGTTGAGGGGAATGTCCCGAGTGGAAAGCCATACCTCCTGACCGATGGCGTACTCTGGGGCAGGGCGTCTCTTGGAGTCCGCAAAGCGCTTGGTGGTCACAGAAGATCGGTTGAAAGAGGCAATGGTGTCCCTCCAGACACGTTGACAGCGGCGAATGTGGTGATTGACAGATGGAACCGAAATCTCTCTCTCGTCTGCTGGGAAAAGAGGGGGTTGATATCCGAGACTGACCTGGAATGGTGATTGACCGGTGGAAGCAGACTTGAAGGAGTTGTGGGCATATTCGATCCATGTAAGGTATTGACTCCAGTCAGTGGGGTTGTTGGAGGTCAGACAGCGGAGAGTCGATTCGAGCTGTTGGTTCATTCTCTCTGTCTGACCGTTGGACTGTGGATGATAACCAGAAGTGAGTGACGACTTACAATTCAGAGTTGCACAGAAGGCCTTCCAGACTTGGGAGATAAACTGTGGTCCGCGGTCAGAGAGAATTTCCTGGGGAATACCATGGAGTCGGAAAACGTGCTTCACTAGGAGCTGGGCGGTTTGAAAGGCCGTGGGAAGTTTCCTGAGGGGAATCAGATGACATGACTTTGAAAATCGATTGACGATGGTAAAAATAGTTGACATACCTCTGGAGATTGGGAGACCAGTAACAAAATCTATGGCGATGTGAGACCAGGGACGAGTTGGAACAGGAAGAGGATGCAACAGGCCAGAAGGCGGTTGATGTGAGGTCTTGTTTCTGGCACATATGGAGCAGGCCAAAACGTATTCCTTCACATCCTTGTGTAACGTAGGCCACCAAAAACGTCTGGAAATCAAGGCGATTGTTCGGCTCACCCCCGGGTGAGGGGAGAACTTGGCTGTGTGCATCCATTGAATCAGGCGAGATCTGACAGATGAGGGAACATAGGTTCTGTTAGGAGGACCATTACCTGGGTCAGGTTCAGAAGCCAAGGCAGAGTTTATGAGATCGGAGATCTCCCAGGAAACCACTCCAACAGTACAGGAAGCAGGAAGAACGGGTTCAGTCGTCTCGGATTGATCAACAGAGTAAAGACGAGAGAGAGAATCGGGTTTGATGTTCTTGGATCCGGGTCTGTAAGAAATAATGAGGTTGAAACGGGAGAAAAACAGAGACCACCTTGACTGACGAGTGTTAGCTTGTTTGGCGGACTGGATGTATGCTAGGTTCTTGTGATCCGTCCAAACTAAGACTGGGTGTTCAGCTCCCTCGAGCCAGTGTCTCCACTCCTCTAAAGCGAGTTTGTTGGCCAAGAGTTCTCGGTCTCCAACGTCGTAGTTTTGTTCTGCCGGGGAGAGTCTACGGGAGAAAAATACACAGGGGTGAATTCTTTGATCAGAGTCGAGTTGTTGGGATAACACAGCTCCTACACCAGAGTCAGAGGCGTCTACTTCGAGGATGAATTGCTTGTTTGGATCAGGCTGGATTAACACGGGAGCTCTGGAAAATAAAGTCTTAAGTTTATCAAAGGCAACTTGAGCTTCGGGGGTCCACTGGAAAGTCTTTTTGACTGATGTTAGAGTTGTGAGAGGTAGAGCTTTTTGACTATAATTCCTGATAAATTGACGGTAGAAGTTGGCAAAACCCAGGAATCTCTGCAGCTGTTTTCGGTTTTCAGGTATCGGCCACTCCAAAACTGCCTTTATCTTTTCTTCAGATGGCTTAACCTGCCGTCCCTCGAGCACAAACCCTAAAAAGGTGACTGAAGGTTGATGAAACTCGCATTTTTCAGCCTTTACAAAAAGTTTGTTCTCCAATAATCTTTGCAGGACCAGGCGGACATGTTTTTTATGCTCGGAAAGGTTCTTAGAATAGATCAGAATGTCGTCAATGTAAACAAACACGAAGATATTCAAAAAGTCTCTGAGGACATCGTTGACGAGGGCTTGGAAACATGCAGAGGCGTTAGTGAGACCAAAAGGCATGACCAGATATTCAAACTGGCCCAAAGGGGTTTTAAAGGCTGTCTTCCACTCGTCACCTTCTCTAATCCTGAGAAGGTGATATGCGTTTGTTAAGTCGAGCTTGGTGAAGACAGTTGCTCCTTGTACTGGTTCAAAGGCTGATGCTAGTAACGGAAGTGGGTATTTATTTTTAACAGTTATTTGGTTCAGGCCTCTGTAGTCGATACAAGGTTTTAGGGAACCATCCTTTTTGCCCACAAAAAAGAAACCAGCACCCAACGGAGAGGAAGATGGGCGGATTATTCCAGCAGCTAGGGACTCATTAATGTATTTCTCCATGGTTTCTCGTTCTGGTTTGGAAATATTGTAAAGTCTACTGCTGGGTAGGGGAGTTCCAGGTAATAGCTCAATCGCACAGTCATATGGTCTGTGAGGTGGAAGGGACGTAGCACTGACCTTACTGAAGACAGGAGCCAGATCATGGTACTCAGAAGGGACAGAAGAAAGATCAGGAGAGTCCATCTCCCCCCTCCCTCTAGGAGACCTTACAGCAGGAGCTGCAGAACGAAGTCATGTTTCGTGACATGAGGTCGACCACGACTCAATGTGGCGTTCAGCCCAGTTTATATGGGGATTATATCGTTCCAGCCACTCAAATCCAAGCACCAAGGGAGAACATGCAGAAGGAAGAACAAAAAATGTCAGTTTCACGATGATTACCTGAGATCATAAGCTCCAGAGGTTGCGTTTGATGGGTAACCTGATGAAGTCTCTTCCCATCAATAGCTGAAACACTAAGTGGCTTGGTTAAAGGGACAGTTTCAATCTGTAGCTGCAGAACCAGGTTAGAGTCTATCAGATTTTGCTCACATCCAGAGTCGATAAAGGCTGACAATATAAGATTCTGGTAAGAGAAAAATAGGGTGGCTGGAAGCATCAACTGAGGAGATTTTTCAGTTTTCAAATGGCCCGTCAGACTCCTCTGACGGGCCCCGGCTTTTGATTTAGCTGGGCATGAAGCGATGAAATGGCCACTCTCACCACAGTAGATACAAAGCTTGCCCCTGAAACGTCTTAGCCTTTCCTCAGGGGTTAGCCTTGTGTGTCCAACCTGCATGGGTTCGGCTTCGGTCTCAACCAAATGAGATACCTGGACAGGCATAGAGGGAGACTGGGTTTTTGGCCTTGGCTTGGAAACGGGTTCTGTGGATCCAGAAAACACAGAAAAACCTTGACTTTTTTGTTTAGAACTGTTTCTAGCACGAAGTCTGTTGTCCAACCTAATTGTTAGGCGGATTAAATCCTCCAGACTAGCCGGTTCATCGAGAGTTGCAAGTATATCCTTGATATTGTCGTTCAAAGCCTTAAAATATGCACTTTTAAGAGCACATTCGTTCCATCCCGAAGCTGCGGCTTTGACCCGGAAGTTGATGGAGAAATCCGCTACTGAGGAATTTCCCTGTCTTAGATTCAGCAGAGCTCGAGAGTCAATTGTTTGATCAGAGTCCTGATTAAACACCTGGGAAAATTCAGAAACAAATTCTGAGAAAGAACATCTGAAGCTGTCCTCGGAGGCAAACCTTGCCTCCGCCCATTCCAGGGCTCGTCCGGTTAGTTGGGACAAAATAAAAGTTATCTTCTTCTTATCTGTTGGAAAACTGCCAGGAGAATTCTCAAAAATCAGACGACATTGGAACAAAAAACCCTTACAGTCTTTCAGATTACCTGAAAACTTTTCTGGGAGACTAGGGCGGAACTCAGGAGATGACGTCACGGCTGGTGAACTTGGAGGCGGAAGTGGATCCGGAAACGGACGTGCAGCAGACGCGGTGTTAGCACTGCTAAAGTAACTAGCATGTGTTTGAGGCATTAGATGTTGATAATCAACCATGGTATGTAACTCACGTTGGGTTTGAGTTTGTCCTTGGATCTGAGCGTCTTGTTCTTCTAGCCTCCGATGGAGGTGATCTGCTGGGCTTAGTGTTTGGCCGCAGTGTTCTGTCATGATTGGTTACTGAGTAAGCCCAATATGCAGAACACAAACGGAAGCTGATGAAAAGTTTAACAAGGTTTATTGTTACACAAGCACATGAATATTTCAACTGGAACTGGTTCAGGCCTGGGGGCAGGTTCACTGGAGTCTGCAGAGATGATAGTTCAGTTAGCGCAGGGACAGATGAGTTATGAGACTTTGAGTTTGCTGAAGAATACCATGAAGGAGTCCAGGTTTCTCTTTGAGAGAGGTAACTGTTGGATCCAGAGACTGTTTGTTCAGCAGAGTCCAATAACTGCTTCAGCGTCTTACTTCTGACTAAGAGGGCAGACCTTGATTTGGTTTTCCAGCTCTTAACCAAGAGCTGCAGGGGAATCCAGAGAAGAGTCTTCAGGTTTGGCTCACGAGGGCAGGCTCGGCAGGTTAAGCTCATCCAGTGCTTCACGAGGAGACAGGATTCCTGTGAGGCAAAAACAAGGGAGAGTTAGAATCTTATCTCAACGAGAGATAGCTAAGATTCTCAGGTTTACTAGGCTCAGGTTGCTAACCAAACTAGATCAACACTGCGGCGTTGAGGCAAGGTCTGAAGGCAGGTTATATAGTGGTGGATCCCCTGATGATGAGATGGGCCACAGGTGTGTTGGAAGCTCAGCTCAGGAGGACCCACGGCGCACTCTGCTGGAGGAAGGTGGTACAGCTCCAGATCCCAACAGAAAGGTGGAATAACTGAATTCATTTTACTTTTACCAGATGTATTACAATCAGTGGTGGCTGGCCAATAGAGGATGCTACCCACTAAATGACCCTGATTAAGACATAAAAATAAAAAATAAAAATCTGATTTAATTTTTATTTAAAATTTGAAATATTTCGAAATATATGAATCTAATTTTTAGATGTGCAAGATATATATTTAATCTTTAATGACTAGTAAAGTGTCATTCCATTTTTGCCTGATTGGTGATGTATTTCCACCTTATGGCGCAAAAATCTTTGCCCACTGACTCTCGTTAAAGTTGTCCATGCATAGTAGCTCCTCTGCAATACAAGGGTATAGGAGGTGTATTTGCTGACCATCTCCTGCCACTGCGTACTTTATGCAGGTGATTGACAGGTCGAGTCGCAGGAGTTGGAGACAGATTGGAGAGAGAGAGAGAGAGAGAGAGAAATTGTGCAAGAAACGTCTTCTTCCAGGTCTTGGTTTAGCTTCCAGGCTAGGCTAACTGCATGCAGCGAGGCTAACTGCCTGCAGCGAGGCTAAGGCTTTATCCTGCCTCCCTGCCTCCTTTTCAAAGGTCAGGATCTGATCCAGCCTGGATAAAGGCAGCTGGGACTGATTAAAGCACTTTATAGAAAAAGCAAAGAAGAATGAACAATCTGGGATTCACATGGAAAATAATAGAATCTAGTCTACTTTTTCTAGGTGTTTGATAATCTGCATAGTTGCTCTTACATAAAGACATTCTCAGAAAATAATTTTTTTATATATAAAAAAATAAAAAGCTGACTAATAGATTCTCCATTATTAAACTGGTTGATTTTTTTTTCTTTTGTTTGTGAAACAATATTGGATCATGAAAAATAGATTTAACTTCACAGCCTCAGAAGGGAAAGATTTATGGACAAAAAGTAACCTATACATGAAATGATGTTTTTTTTAAGTGTTTTTATAATGTTTTTTTGTTTTTGGCATTCATAAAAATATACTGCTGTGATAACTTAGTATATGTTTGATTGGTTTCTGGTTTACATCTATTTTGAATTCATAGTGTCCCCTTGAGAAAACTCCACCAGGCGCCGCTGATTCCAGCATCCGGCTGCCATGCACGTGGGCATTGTCAGTTTCACTATAGCTCTGGTGAATTTCAATGGTGAAGTCCTCTGGAAATCTTCAATAATTGTTGTTGATTGCAGATGTGTCTAGTAGTTCCCATTGATTTAGCTTGGAAAGCGGGGAGAATGGCGCTAGGCTTACCGCACCGTGACGTCACTGCTGGAAGATGGCAGGAGGGAGGGGCTACTATATTTGGGTAAAAATTGCCGCTCCAAGACTCAGTGATCAAGACAAAAAATATTATTTTTATTTCCTTACTGATTAACGCTAAATTCATGAAATCACTGTGAACATATTAGTTTCAGGTATAAATAATGATCCATTGATTATTCCTGCTGACCGGACTTTTCCTTTAATAAAATCTTCACCAGACGGACAGATGAGTATTATTATTACGTTGAACATCAATCTGTGATCATTAGCATTTATAGTTTATTCTAACATGTTGAGGTTTAACAGATCTACATCATATTTCATCATTAAGGCTGTTCCACAACTTAACACCAAAACTGAAACGCATCACTTTTCTTAGATCTTTAAAAATTAAGAAAGTTTCATTATATTGTCATCTTCTTGATAACATCAGAACCAATCAGCTGGTAAATAAGTTCTAAAGTCAACTATGAACTATAACAGAAGGTTTTTTAGCCATCAGATCATTTTAAAGACATCCAGGTATTTATTTTCTCACAGCAGTTGGTTTTTCTCATTGTTTTCTTTTTTTATTTATTGGTTCTGGTTTTCTGGTCCATCAGGAAGGACAATATTAATGACAATGGACACAGGGACCTAGTCAGCATCTACATCTGTAGCTCTACACTTCTTTAGAGAGTGAAGCAGGAGATGTTGAAGAGGAAAGGATGAGGAGCTAGAGTCCAGCAGGGTTCATGTTGTTGTGGTCGTGTGGTCGTGGACTAAAGGAGTACTCGGCTTTGTGATGCATGATCAGCCTGTTGTTGACGAAGTAAAAACTGTCGGAACGCGTCTCAAAGGGGCTGGCGATCATTTCCTCAACTGGAAAAGAGAAATGGAGAAGGTTCAGTCTGCTGGTCCATTGGACTTTGTTTCCAAGTTTGAAGACTTTTCTCTTCTCATCCAGGAAGCTTTTTAATTGAAAATGAGTTCCGGTACCTAATGACGTCCAGTATGACATCATTAGGTACCGAGCTAACCTCTAGATCAGCCGTGAGCAATTCCAGCTCCTGAGGGCAACTTTTAGGCAGGCCTATTGGTTCAACACACCTGAATCAGGTAAAGAGATGATTGACAGGACTCTAAGGAACTGGCTGCATACGGGGGAGGTAACTCAGCCATTTGATTCAGGTGTGTTGGACCAAGGATTGATCTAAAAGCTGCAGAATACCAGCCCCCAGTAAGTGGGATTACACAGCTCTGATCTAGATCCAGTCTGTAGATTTAGTCAGTCTGGAGACAGCTGACCCATCTTAAAGCCTTAGTATTTTCTAATAAACTCACCGATATTTGGTTCCAGGTCATGCAGGCAGTAGATGTGCTCACAGGTGTTCCTGCTGTGAGGAATGCAGAAGCCGATCTCAAAGTCGAAGGTTTTAAGAAGAAGGTTTCTGAAGAAATGTCTCTCAATCAGACGGAAGTGGTTCAGAGCTTTGCTGCCCACGGTGAACTCCAACCTGGAGGACAAAACCAAGCACTTCCATCACTGCTAACCTGACTGCTAAACAATTAGCCAGTTTTAGAAATGATCTCAGGAATAAAACAGGAGGTAGATGCAGGCTGATGGTTTGATCAGTTTAACAGAGATGATGTGGGACTCTGGCCCACTAAAGCACCAGCAGAGCGACCATAAACAGGAATCGCTCCTCTCCTGATGGATCACTGCCTCAACCAAAGGAAGAAATGATCCAGATCCATGTTCTGGATCTGGAATATTCTGGGCTGACCCCAGATAACCCGATGCTATTCTATTCAGTTTATTTCTATAGCTCCAATTCCCATCATGTCATCTCAGGTCACTTTCCAGTTCACCAGATCATCCAGTCAGATTGATTCAAAGTTTTCTATCTAAGGAAAACCAGCTGATTGCATCGACTCATTGACTCTTCAGCAATCCCTCACACTAAGCATGCTTGTAACGACAGTGGAGAGGAAAAACTCCCTTTGAATAGGAAGAAACCTCCTGGATCTGATCTTTATCAACATCCTACCAAAATGTATGACTTATACTGAGCAACGATGGGAAAACAAGGAAACATGAGAAATATGGAGAACTTTACTAGATTGTTTTATTGCTCTGATTCAAGTTTATCAGTTTATAAGTGATGAACATGTTAAATACCTGAGATTATATCTAGGTGGATCATTTTTATCTCTGTAGATGTTAAAACACAATAATAAATAAAAATAGGAAACAGCAAAGAAAATACATAAAAGAAGCTTAAAATAAAATCCGCTCAATGTTTAGACTATTTTATGATTTCTTTTGAATCAAATGTCTCTCATTTTACTATGAATTATTTTCCAAATGTAAGAAGCCTGGTCGGAAAAAGTAGTTTCCTAACGTAGAACTGAACAGTTAGCTCTATAATGATGGAGACCAACTACCAAGAATTTCAGAAATTAAGACAGAATCCTGTTACTTTACAAAATTTTCCAAACATGTTTTTCCATAATGAACATAGAAAACTTTTAGAACCACTGAATATCAGAATAGATTAGATGTGAAACCAGCAGAGAGGATGTAGAGGAGCCCTAAACGATGAGCTTCATGAACCATAAAGGTCCAGACTTGGTTCTGAAACACCCGAATTAACGGAACATGAGATAAAAAGCCTTTCAGATCAAACTACCTGACGCTGGTGAAGATTCTGTCATTCAGGTCACAGTCATTCCAAAAAAGTTAAAATCAATCCACTGGACTTTGTTTCCAAGTTTGAAGACGTTTCTCTTCCATCCAGGAAGCTATTTCAATTCAAAATACCTGCCTTTGTCTCTGAAAGGGGGTCGCCTATTCAGCCTCTTTAACGACCCCCCTTTCAGAGACATAGACAGGTATGGGGCATTGCAGGCTAACACAGAAGCCAAACGACCCCCATTCCAAAGGGGGGGACCCGTTCATCCGTTTCTATTTGCATGTTTTCTAAACTAAAACCAGGCTTTGTTGGGCTGCTGGATAAAACCTGGAACTAAACGCTATTTCTGACATTTTGAATTGAAAAATCTTCCTGGATGGAAGAGAAACGTCTTTAAACCTGTAAACAAAGTCCAGAGGATTGATTTGAACTTTTTTGGAACAAACTATTTGATGTTTTCAGTTCTGTAGATCTGAGATATGCCAAACTTACGTGGCTCCGATCTCTCGCAGAGTCAGGAAGGCAGGAGAGAAGTGGTACTGGATGAACCTGCTGGTGTCATAGTCAATCATGTCCTGAATTTCTGAAAACAGAAAAAGTAAAACCTGCTGAATTGAAGACAGAGGAGAAGAAGGTCCAGCTGACTTCCACATGTCTCCACCGGGTTAGAAGCTAGATCCATCTGATCAGGAGAGTTCCCAGTTGGAACCCTTTCTACAGCTGGGATTTCTATCTCTATGCTGAACCTTCATGATGATTTAATGAAAATATTTAGTTTTTCTAGATGGTGGGGGATTTGTGTTCTCTGTGGTCTGGTCTCCATCATAGGTGCCATAAGATTTCCCCTGGATGTACCAGTCTGACCCTTGAACCCTGAGCTCCATGGTTCAGCTGGAAACACCTACATGTTACAACATGAGAGGAGCGAAGCAGGGCCGTACCTGTTGGGCCGTTCTTCTTGATATCCAGAATCACAGCTCCACTGTCCAGATCTCTGATCTTGAAGCGGGAAAAGTTAACGTTGTAGATGTTGTCCTCCAGTAAACACAGGTAACCTGAAACACACCCAGAACGTCTCTATGAAAGCGTAGAAACCGCCAGGATCTGACGCTGTCCATGGTGCTGTTTCAAAGAGAGAAGAAGTCAATTCCCATCTTGTCATCTCAGGTCACTTTCCAGTTCACCAGATCATCCAGTCAGATTGATTCAAAGTTTTCTATCTAAGGAAAACCAGCTGATTGCATCGACTCATTGACTCTTCAGCAATCCCTCACACTAAGCATGCTTGTAGCGACAGTTGGGAGGAAAAACTCCCTTTGAACAGGAAGAAACCTCCAGCAGAACCAGGCTCAGTGTGAGCGGCCATCTGCTGAGGCCCACTGGGGTTCAAGGAGACAGAAGCAGACATAGAAAAAGAAGCATAGATACAAAAGGCAGCTGTCAACCAGCTCCACAGGCGGCCCCGTCCAGGAAACACACAGCCAGGCAGACGAGCTCCGAGCCAGCTCCCATGTCAGAGGATGAAGAGAGCACATCCAGTTAGTCACAGTCAGAGAAACAGGACTACACTGGAAAACAGGCCAAGCTCCAACATCTAGAAACAAAGGTGTTGATGGCAGCAGCACAGCTGATATTTAATATTCTTTCAGCTTCAGACTGTTGATGAGTTTTTAAAAAGTGGTTCCAAAACCAGGATATTTTTCACAGATTCACTCTGATGACCCCAGGCTGGAATTCCTCCTCCATCCTGGGCCTAAGAACGTTAAATCAGCTGTTAGCATGGTGGTGGCAGCATCATGCTGGAAGCTGTAATCATCACTAATTGCTTTACATGCTGCTCTGCTCCTCATGGCCGCCCTCTGATGTTCTGGATCAGGACCATTTCTCTCTGACCACAGATTCGAGCCTCGTCCCTGAATCTGTTTGCTTTCCTCTCCAACCTGTTTCTGACTTTGACCGTGGAGACGTGTCTACTTCCTGTGGTGATGTCATCACTTGGTCTTCAGTTCTACCTGAGGAAGGGAAGCAAAGGATCTATCCCCCCCCCCCCTGTGGTTCCTGCTCCTGTGATTGACTATTTTTACATCAATCATTTAAATCGTACATGTCTGGTTAAATCCTCCTGCTCCTTCTAACTGATTGGGTTAAATAATTATTTTTTCCTGATCAGCCAACCTGTCCAGCCACCGCCCCCCCCCCCCAGGTTCTCACCCTCTGTGTAACTGTTCAGCTGTAATACTAGCTGGGGGGTCACCGGGTCACCAGGTTTCCATGCGGTCCCGTCCGCCTGCAGCGATTCGGTCCCTGTGGAAATGAACCCGTTCCAGTCCTCCGTCCCCCCGTCCACCACCATTTCTTCATGGTCCCAGCCTCCGCCCCCCTGCTCTCCTCTTCGTTCCTCGTTTTGTGTCAGACCCTCCTCATCATCAAACCCGACTTCCTCCCGATCCTCCATCCAGCACACCGCTTTCCTTCTCTCTCCCCGTTATCAGGAACGGTTTGTGTTTGGATGGAGCCGGAGCTGCGGCGCAGTAATCCGCAGCCAGGACTCTGGTGTCTAAACAGATTATGTCAGTCTGGAATTAGCAATCTAAGACAATCCCCAATTAAATCTAGTCTCTGACATCAGAGGAAGGAAAACGCTTCTTCCTTTTTCACTGCTTCAACTTTCATTAAATTTCATTTAGATTTTAGGAGACAGACCAACACAGAATGTTATTTAAAAAACTGAAAAGTGTGGCGTGTGTTTGACTTAGTCCTGGTGAGGGAGCGTTTATAGAACCGTCACTGAGCGGCGTTTCAGAGGAACCAACGCTACCCTCACACATTCAATCAGGGAGGAGGAATGGAACCAGTAAGCCACCTATCTGCCTCCTGGCATCATCGTCAGGGGGGGGGATTTACCGTTATGCAATACTAGGCAGGTGCCTAGGGCCCCAAGTTCCTGGGGGCCCCATAAAACTCTGTTTCCATGTATGGTTAATAAAACTATTCCATATTTCTGCTCATTAATTATGTTGTTGATAAAAATCCTTTGGCTAAAATGCCATCAGAACGCTGATAATATTCAGTGTGTCTCAGCCCCCCCCCCTTCAGTGTCCACCATATTGGATCAGTCCATTTGCTGCACATGTTCAGAAAGGTCCAAACAGACAGCAGCAAACCATTTGAAAACAAACCATGCAAAGAGCAGTGTTGCCAACTTAGCGCTTTAGTCGCTATATTTAGCCACTTTTCAGACCCCTCTAGCACTTTGATTTCTAAAAAGCTCCTAGCGCCAAATCTAGAGACTTTTTTCTGCTACTGGAGACTTTGGAGACAACATCTAAAAGCAGCGAACTCTGCTCTCCAGAGCGAGTAGATTGGTAACCCCGCCTCCTGCTCTCCTCTATCTTGTCTGCTGTCATGATTCATGCAGCTATTATTTCATCCAAATGAAAAATGGAGAACAGATAAGCAGATCATGGCTTGTCTACAGTGAAAAGAAGGACTGGGTTATTTACTTTGGCCTTTTTGGAAACACAGGAAGGAGCAATCAGCTAAGTGAGCTTAGTGCTTTCCACCTGCAGTCCAGAGACTGCAGGTGGAAATTAGCCAATGTTTGCAATCTGGTATATGTAACTATGATATGGAAGTTTATTGATATATACTGTCGCTTTAAAATAAATCAATAAAATGGATTTCCATCTCTTGTGGACAAGCCTTGTTCAGCCCTGCTGGGTTCTGCTCCTCTTCAGAACGTCTCACAGGAACCATCTAGTTACTGATGAACCTTCCTCACCTTCAATGATGGGAAACCAAAACTGTTAAAGCAGCATGGAGGTCCATCGTCCTGCACGCATTCCAGATCAGATGCTAATCAAACAGCCGCCCCTCCTCCTTCTGGTTCGTTTGGGTGTTTTATTCTTCATCTGTTCTGCTCCGGCCTATGGTTGAAAAGAACCAATCACAGAGCCGATGCACAACATAATACCCTGACAGCCCAGAATAATAAGAATAATTAGGTCTCCAACTAGAGACTGCTGAGGTGGAGCCGCCAGAGATGACCAGGACTCCTGGATGGATGAAGAAAGATCTTCTGTTTGTGGTCTGAGCCATTTAAAAAGCTAAAACAAACTTTATTTCATGTAAAGCTTTGTGTTTTCTCTCATATTCTCATTGCATTTAATTACCAAAATGTTCGCAAAGAATCATTAAAATGAATCCCCTAATGTCTGCTAGCTACTGCGTCTGCTAGCTACTGCGTCTGCTAGCTACTAGCTCAATCGCTAAAGTTTAAAAATCCATTAGCTTAAGTTTAATGATTTTTAACCAAGCAAATTATTTAATGAAACATTATTTTCCCAATGATGTTGTATTTGCATTGAGGGCTGCTCAGTGCTGCGGTGGGTAGCACTACTGTCTTGCAGCAAGAAGGTTCTGGGTTTGATTCCCAGCCCGGGGTCTTTCTGCATAGAGTGTGCATGTTCTCCCTGAGCATGCGTGGGTTCTCTCCGGGTACTCCGGCTTCCTCCCACAGTCCAAAAACATGACTGGTAGGTTCATTGGCTTCTCTAAATCCTCTTTAGGTGTGAGTGAATGGTTGTTTGTCTCTGTGTTGCCCTGCTATGGACTGGAGACCTGTCCAGGGTGGACCCCTCCTCTCTGTCCAGGATGGACCCTGCCTCACTGTCCAGGATGGACCCCTCCTCTCACCCACTGACAGCTGGAGGCACCAGCACCCCTCACCACCCCAGCAGGGATAAAGGGTGACAGAAAATGGATGGATTCGCTTTGAAATGATTCCAATTACTCTAAACAAGTCTAAAGCTAATTTGATCCCAAATTCTTCAGGATAAACTTTGGTTCAGATATAAAATCCATGATAAACTTTTGACATTTTGAGCTGAAACATGTTTGATTTGTTGCTGGTTGATTTTTGTTGATGGAAGTAGTGGTGAATTTATTGGGTACGTGTGCAGAATAATCCCACCGTGATCAGTTCTCTGAACACGGCCAGGTAAATTCCAACAATAGAGATGCAGACACAGAAACCAGGAACCAACATCTTACAGTCATTTTATTGTTTTTGTTCTGCATACCATCCATAGTCTACAGAGAGCCGTTAGCTCAGATAAACTTCCTCGATGCTGAACAGAGAAAACAAACATAGAGCTTCCTTCTTTCATCTAATTGAATTATTTCTACACAGTAATGGTTCATTCATTTGGACACATTATCCTACTTTCACGTATCACAGAAGGATCACTATGGATTAACATCTGAAGTAGTTTGAGTGTGAAGCAGCAGCATACTGCAGGATTACCTTCTGTATTTCAGTGGGATTAAATAATCTCTGAATCCTGCAGCTCCGTGTTTTACTTATTTCTCTCTGAATCTATGAGGAAAAACTTGCTTAGTCCTTTGACCCCTGTGGCTTCGAATTCAAATCCTGCCCCTCTTCTTCCCCCTCCTCTTCCTCCTCCTCTTCTTCATCCTCCTCTTCCTCCTCTTCCTCCAGCTCCTCTGTGCAGCCTCTCATTTGGCCCCACAGAGGAGCCAGTCTGCCATCTGCTGTCACCCCCATCGGCTGAATGATTTGGTCTCTGGATGACAGGAAATAAAATCAAACACCAGTTTTACAACCTTATTCAATAACGGATTAAACTCACATTTATCCTGTAAACCTATCAGAGTGTGTTAAGGTGGAAAACTTTCTATATATTGAATTCCATAGACGTGTTGTTTTTGTTTTACAAACTGTAGTTAAAAGCCTTCAGCTGATCCAAAATGCTGCAGCCAGAGTTCTAATGAAAATGAAAAAGAGAGATCATATCTCGCCTATCCTGGCTTCTCTTCATTGGCTTCCTGTTAAATCAAGAATAGAATTTAAAATCCTCCTTCTCACATATAAAGCCTTAAATGGCCAAGCTCCATCTGATATCAGAGATCTGATTGTTCCTTATGTTCCTAACAGAGCACTTCGCTCTCAATCTGCAGGTTTACTAGTGGTTCCTAGAATTTCTAAAAGTAGAATGGGAGGCAGATCTTTTAGTTCTCAGGCTCCTCTCCTGTGGAACCAACTACCAGTTTTAGTCCGTGAGGCAGACACCCTGTCTACTTTTAAGGCTAGACTTAAAACTTTCCTTTTTGATAAAGCTTCTAGTTAGTGGCTCAGGTTATCCTGATCTATCTCTATAGTTCTGCTGCTATAGGCTTAGACTGCTGGAGGACATAGGGACCCCTTTTTCATCATTCTGCTTCATTCTATCTCTATTCTCCCACTCTGCAGAATCTGTTAGTTCAATCTCTAACATTATAATTTTATCCTTATATTTTGGCTGTTTTTGGGTTAGAATCATGTTTCCGTTGGGAGCTTGTTTCTCGAACTAACAGGAAGCAGTAAGATCGCAGCTCCATGAAGCCTCCATGAGCCGCATGGTGTCGGAGTTCTCACCGTGATAGTCTGTTGATCATGCAGATGAGACGACGGGCCTCCTCTTCCTTCTCCTCCTCTGTCATGCCTTCCATCGGATCGGGCTGCTCCGCCTCCACCCGGCCCGTCACCAGGTTAATCTTAGACCTGGCGTCCCGGTACTCCTCTGTGTCCGAGTCCGAGTCGCTGGAGTAGTGTGGGGCCAGCAGGCCGTCACCAGAGTTCCTCCTGCCGTTCAGCAGACCCCGAGCTGCCAGCAGCCCCGCAGCGTTGCCATAACCGGTGTATTTCACAAAGCGGCTGACTGCAGGCACACAGAGGAGAAGACTCAGCCCATCTGGAGCGTCTAACACAAAAAATGAGGTTTCTTCTCTTTACGTTTGATGATGATGGTGCTGTAGAGGCCTGGGGGACTTCTCACAGTGTTGGCTGTTTCCCTCTCCAGAGGTCAGAGGTTTGGATTTTTATCACCCTGATAATCAGCATGTTTTCTAAGCCTAAGCAAGGTTTTGTTGGGCTACTGTATAAAACCTGGAACTCAACGAACTCAGCGAATTTCTGACATTTTGAACCGAAAAAACTTCCTGGATGGAAGAGAAATGTCTTCACACTTGGAAACAAAGTCTAGTGGATTGTTTTTAACTTTTTTGGTGTCAGCCAGATATTCTTAATTCTGAGCAGAGGAAGGTGGAGTACCCCAACATTTACTGAACTAAAATTATCGGTATGATAATTCTATCGGTTCCACATGTTTGCTCATGAAAAATTTAAAAAGCATTTGGTAAAAAAGCTATTTAATTAATGAGTAACTCTATTATACTCTCATCAGAATGTAAATTACAACAGCAGATTTATTATTTAGAGTTATTAAGTCAATTGTTACAGGATGTAAGAACAGGATAAGTTACAGAAAACTTTTTACTGTATTTTCAGTTGACCTCTAAAATGAAAGCAGATGGACAAGGACATTTAACCAATAAGCTTTCAGGAAAAAAAAAAAAAAAAAAGAATGTGTTCCTCTAAATGGTGCAGATTTTGTTATAGTGTTGCGCCGATGCCATTTTTTGGTCCCGATACCCGAAACCTGGCTGTGCAGAATCGGCCGAGAGCATCTGTTTGAAATTGATGTGTGTATCTATGAAGAACTGCATCCTACTGTGATGTAAAATAATCACCATCATGGCTTCATGTCAAGCTGCTGCCTTCCTTTGTGAAGCAGGAAAAAGACTAAAACAAAGGGAATCCAGTAGAAGTTTTTAGACCAGGCTTTACTGATGCGGTTCCAGCCGGTTTCTCTCGGCAGTCTCGAACTCTTTGTGTTCGTTCACGTGTTTCGTCTTCAAATGTTTGATCAGGTTGGAGGTAGTGAAACTGCCCGGTTTAACTCCGCCTCTCTAAACTTTCAGGTCATAAATCTTGCATTTAGCCAATGTACTTGCCGGCGTTTCTATAACGAAATACTCAGACACCACAGACATTTTCTTCTCCTGGTTTGTTTTCCCATGGCATGAAAAAGCTGCCCTGGCATTGGCTAAAAGCGGCTACTGGCCCACTCTCATTGGTCTGGAGACGGCCAATAGCAATAGTTAACACCAGTGAGTGTCTGGAGAGAGAAGGCTGCGTTGAAGTGACATACAAACATCAACATGGTATCAGTGCCCCATTTGTTGGTACTCGCTGATGCTGATACCACCAAGTCAAGACTGGTTGACTTGTCTCTATAAAGTGACCTGAGATGACGTGATGTGAATTGGAGCTATAGAAATAAACTGAATAGAATTTCTATTGTCATGATGAGTAAATGTTTTTCTGCCCAGCACTGGGTAGATTCTCTGTCTACGATTATTTCCTATAGAGGGACTTTAATGGAACAAGCCAAGCTCTGCTTGTTGTCTTTAGAGTCTCATTAGAAACGCTGCATGTTGCAGAACAACATGAACATTTCTGTTGATGCTGAACCTGATCACTGGAGCTCCCAGGGCTGTAGAAGTGGGACTGTACCGTTTTCTTTGCAGAGGACAAACAGCAGCTCGGCAGCACAGTCCTTTACATCCGTGTCAACGTGGGTCATCAGGCGGACCAGCTGGCCTCTCAGCGTGTTGTCCTGCTCGGGACGGACTGCCACGTCCCTCAGAGGAGGCAGAATCTGAGACAGGAAAATATTCATCGTGTTTTACAGCTGTTCCAGCTTACAGCTCTATGGAGACCGTATGAGATGGACCGACAGCAGCAGGTGGATGCTCTGAATGATGCATGGTTCCAAGCATGGGTTAACATTCAGCCTCTGATTCTCTGGTGGGATCAGAGAAAGCTACAGCAGAACTACTCTAAAGGTAACCAGAGATTCCAGCAAGCAGAACCTCTGGTTCTGGAGGAGCAGCTAAGATCAGACAAACAGGTTTGTGGTGAGAAGGAAGCCGATGATCACTGGATAGCAGAAGGCAAAGATAAGCTCTGCTCAGATGGACCGAAACTCAACTCTGTGTCCGAATATAGAACAAACAGCCCACATGGTGGAGGCAGCATGGTGATGTGGAGAGAACAGAAAAGAGCAGAAAACCCCTTTATTGTGAACCTTTAACCCAGCTGCTCAAACTAAATGATTAAGTTGATCTTATTTCATCACTGATAACAGTCGGATGGTTATAGAAGTTGTTTCTTCCTGTTGAGGTGGTGGATCAGCCAATCAGCTCTCTGCTTCCTCCATTTTCAAACTAAAGGTCCTCCCAGGAGCTCTAAAGAACTTTGGGACAAACTTTTACGTCCAAAAGAGAAAACTCTAAAATCTTCTGTTTTTTTTTTAAGAGCTCTGCTTCTGACCACTAATGAAAGTTCTGAACCCAACACAGATCCTCCGTTCAGCCATTAAGCTGTGGTTCTGTCAAGGGTTTGAATTCAACTTTGGTCTTTAGCTCATTTCATCAGCAGCTCTGATCAATGTGGAATTAGGACCTTTTTCCACTTTGAAAAGGTTTGCATTAGAACTAAGCCAGAAGGAAAATCTGTGCCTTTTCTACCAAATATAGTCTAAATATGTCTGTTATGTGGATTTATCCTGTATTTCCTTTTGAAGATATAGAAATGTGCAGAGGTAAACAGAGGTAAACCCACTCTTACATTTTATATTCTCTCTCTGTATCATGAAACAAAGCAAAATAATACATTTAAGGAATGACAAATAAATGTATTTTATATACATAAGCACAGAAACTAGAAGAGGAGCTGAGCATTTCAAATATTAACCTAAATATACAAGTTGGACATCTGGGCTCACTGCAAAAACGATCTGAAATTAAGTAAAAAATATCTTAAATCAAGTGTATTTACCCTTCATTTGAGCAGGTAAATAAGATAGTTTGCCAATGGAATGAGTATTTTTACATTTAAAATAAGATAATTAGATAATATGCACTTGAAATAAGACAATGCAATAGTTTTTTTCTTATTTCAAATGTAAATTGTCTTGTTCCATTGGCAAAATGTCTCACTTACTTACTCAATTCAAGAAAAAATGAACTTATTTTAAGAACAAATGACTTATTTAGATTTACATTTTTTGCAGTGCTGTAGTTACTTTGTTTAACCTGTTTCATGTATTTTATCTAGGGCTAAAAAAATCCATTGGATTCATTGATTAATGAAATCATCAAATGATTTAGAAATTGATTAATTGTTAAATGGAGTATAGAGACTCTAAAACCTGCCTTTAGCTGACAGAGCGACGCACTTAGAGCAGCAATTACATCAAAATTATAAAAAAAAAAATAGATATATACAATTTTTCCATTTTAGATAAAAAATGTTTTCATATTTTATTATTCTCCATCCAGATCTATAAACAGGAAACTTTCTGTTTTATCTGGTTTAATTTCCTAAAAACTCATTAAAAAAATTATCGTCAGATGAATTGATTTGCAAAAATAGTCATTAATTGCAGCCCTAATTTTATAGTAACATTCCAAACACACTTCTTACATAATAATCTGTAGTGTCGATAAAAGCAAACCGACCAAACATGAACATAAATCAGGCAAAATATATTAAAATTCATCATTAATGAGCTGCAACAGAATCTAATTACTGAGCCAAATGAAACTCTCAGCTGAAGCCACTTCTCCCTCTACCTGTGCTGCAGCATCATCGCTCATTGTTTAAGTTCCCTAAATTCAGTTAAATCACAAACTGATATTTACACATTGAATGTTAATAATGCTTCAGTCTACCAGAAAAATGCTAGAATAATTTAAGGATTTGTTGACTGGTTTCTGATCAGTGGGATGCTAACTGAGCAGATAAAGAACCAGGGTTAAAGGCACATAAATCACCATGGCAACTGATGTGTTACTGATTTGCTTTTGGCCAGAATATCCAGAAAATCCCAATTTAGTGCCTGATGTGGCTAACGTTGGGGCTCTGGTTGGTTTGAAGAGTTTCTATCTCTGGATTGGATTCACTCGATGACTTCTTATATTACATCAGGCAAAGGGTTGGGGGGGGGGGGGGGGGGGGGGGGGGGGGGGGGGGGGGGGGGGGGGGGTATGGATGTAAGGAAAAACAAAATCTGACCTTTTGTCGTAAGTAGTGACGAGTTTCCCTGTGAACCCGAGAGCTTTCTGTCAGTAAACTCAGGACAGGAGTTAGCTTCTCCTTCAGCTTCAGACCCTGAGAAGAAGAACAAGGAACAATCAGTATAAACTTAAACAGGCCTCTTATCAGACAACCAGCTTAAAAAATAAGTTGGAGAACAAATAAGGAATTCAACTTTGATTGAAACTGTCGCTACAAGCATGCTTAGTGTGAGGGATTGCTGAAGAGTCAATGAGTCGATGCAATCAGCTTGTTTTCCTTAGATAGAAAACTTTGAATCAATCTGACTGGATGATCTGGTGAACTGGAAAGTGACCTGAGATGACATGATGGGAATTGGAGCTATAGAAATATATACATATATATATATATATATATATATATATATATATATATATATATATATATATATATATATATATATATATATATATATATAATTAAACTGTTTTCTCACCCCTCGTGGGGTGGTATGTGTCATCCTCAAGCTTGGGTCCTCTACCAGAGGCCTGGGAGTTTGAGGGAACTGCGCAGTATCTTAGCTGTTCCTAGTACTGCGCTCTTCTGGACAGAGACCTCTGATGTTTTACCTGGAATCTGCTGTAGCCACTCTCCCAGTTTGGGGGTCACAGCAGCCCCCAGTGCTCCAATTACCACTTGCACCACTGCTGCTCTCACTTTCCACATCTTTTCTAGCTCCTCCTTCAGTCCTTGGTATTTCTCAAGCTTCTGGTGTTCTTTCTTCTTGATGTTGCTGTCGCTTGGGATTGCCACATCTATCACTACTGCCTTCTTCTGCTGTTTGTCGATCAACACGATGTCTGGTTGGTTAGCCATCACCTGTTTGTCAGTCTGGATCTTGAAGTCCCATAGGATCTTAGCTCGGTCATTCTCAACTACCTTAGGAGGTGTCTTCCATTTTGACCTTGGGACTTCCAGCCCATACTCATGGCAGATATTCCTGTACACTATGACAGCTACCTGGTTGTGGCGTTCCATGTATGCACTTCCTGCCTGCATTTTACACCCTGCTGTTATGTGCTGTATTGTTTCAGAGGCATCTTTGCACAGTCTGCATCGGGGGTCCTGCTTGGTGTGGTAGACCCTGGCCTCTATTGATCTTCAACTGTTCTTGTGCTGCCATGATTACCAACTGAGCTATCCAGTTGCATATATATATATATATATATATATATATATATATATATATATATATATATATATATGTGTGTGTGTGTGTGTGTGTGTGTAAACCCGGAAAAATCCTTCTTCATCTTTACGTGGACAGGCTGCAGCCATGTCCTGAATTCCTCGTTTCCTGCCACAGATTTTTCTCCACCTCCAAATCGTGACGCCAAACATACGGCGTTACGATTAACCAGATGCAGCTCCATGCAAACACACGGAACCATTTATATCTGATATATCTGACAAAAATAAAAGCATTTTAAATGCCACGATAATCACATTTTATGAATTTTAATGCCAGTAACGCCTTAAAATAAAAATAAAAAGATAATTTAATGACTTTTAATGACCAGCAGGAACCGTGTGATAAACTTCAATCTTATCGTAGACGATGGCTTCTGGACAGTATTCATGGACAAACTGAACGCGTTTACCCGTACACACACAACTGATGCTCAGATACCAGATTAACTCACATGTGGCTCCAGCCTCCAAGGTTTTCCTTCTGCTGAAATGTTTGTCTCGTGTTATTTTCTTGTGCTGAGGTGTTTTTTGATATCTCAAACTGTATCCTGTCAAGGATAAAGTGTGAAATATAATTTATTTCCCCCTTTCCCTCCCCAATGTAGCTCCTATCTGTCTACAGACATAAAGGTGGTGCTATAGGAAACTCATGGCGAGGCCCCTGGCAGTTAATGGAATTCGCCAAACAGCAGCGTTCTGTGTGTATGATGAACGTACGTACTGAAATTGAAATCTACAGTACTATGTAAAGTGTAGTTGACAATAAAGAAATGTGACTGATTGATTTGTGAGTTCTGGGGGCTCCACCAGAGCCGTCCGTGGTTGGAGCCCTGATGTATTTAAGCAGCATGGAGGTTCCTCCTCCTGAGCTTTCCTAGTCAGATGCACCAGTTGTTCTCCTCAGCCCTGTGTTCTGAATGGCAGGAACCTAAAAAAGCATCCAAACCCTACTGCAGCATAAATAATAAAACCACATCGCTCTGAATTCCGGTTTCCAGCTGACCAGTAAGCTGAGAATGACCTGGATGAGGAGTTTATAAAGGCCCGGTTTATAAATCCTCTGCTGGTTTCTACCAATAACAGTAAACATCTTGCCCTGTTCAGCCGTCTGTCCATGAAGAGCAGCAGCGCGTGGACACAGTCCATGTTGATCCCTTCATGTTTATGGGATGCCTGGTCCACAGGGACGGCCAGTAGGACGTCCAGACAGGTGAGGGGCAGAGCTGACAGGATGTTCACCGTGTGCCTGAGGAAAAAAACAGCATGTTTTCAAATCATCAACCATCTCTAGGACGCCGCTCTAAAGATGAGTCCCAAGAGGAAAAGCTTGGATCCAAAGGAGCCGTCTGACCCTTGCAGCTCCTCCCGTGTGTCGGGTCCATCGCACGACAGCAGCAAACAGTAGCGTAGGACGGCTGCTAGGTGGCGATACAGAGCAGCCTCCTCCTGTAGAGACATCATCCAGATTTTACCTTCATGATCAAACCGTAAGGAATTCAATCTGGACCTAATTCCCAATCAACGCCTAGAGACGTCTCTAACGCCATGGAGTCGGTCTTCATGTCCACCCAGGTCTGCGTCACCTCATCGGCCCAAACTAAGGTTCTCACCTCATCCGGCTCCTGCCGGTAGAACCTGTGAGCGATGTTGAAGATGGTCTTGAGGATCTCGATGACATCCTGGGACACCTCCTGGGAAATGGGCGGGGCTTTGCTGTCAGCGACCAGCCAGGACCACCTCAACGCCAGGCATTGCTCCAAGGCTTGGGTCAGAACCAACACCCCGCGCTCCTGAATGGATGGAACCAACCATGAGTTCTGCTCCCACCCCGAGCAGCTCAGGAAACATCTAAAGATATTCCCACCATGAATGTTTAGCGTGTTGCTGTTACAGCCACAGATATCCTGTTTTTATCCTTCACCATGTTTCTAAACAGATAAGTAGTTCAGCCTAACGGACAACGACATGTTAAAGAACTTTATATGATTTATTTATTTATTTATTTATTTATTTGAATAGGGACAATGCACATTATTGAACATCAGTATAAAAACAAATGTAAATATGCCGGATTATAGCTACAAAGCTAGTTTTCATCCGTAGCCCCTAGGCAGGCAAATACATAAGAAAGAACATATAACATACAGTACAAGCATCACAATAATGATGATGATTGTGATTTGTGTTTTTTTCCTTGGATGTTAGTAAGGTTAAATATTAAAGTGTGTCGGTTTTTCTTGCTGAATAATGGTGATTAGTGAGAAGCTGTTCCATTCTTTATGCTGAGATGTAGGGAAAGGAAGGAGGTTTGAAAAGGAGTTTCCTCCCTAGGTTAGATAAGGGGGAAACATAGATAAACAGGTCCTTATTGTGTTCAACATCTTCACGTCCTGTCTCTGGTGTGAACTTAAAATAGTCGTCTAAAATGTTTATCTGAACATATATTTATTTCTTTTGATGAAGTGTTTCTCTTGGAAAGACTCAATGTTTGTGTGTAACCAGTCTTTATAATGCAAAGGTGGGGCAGGAACTAGTCAGAATCACACTGGGAGCTGTCTTTAGCTGTCTGTGTCGTTCTCCTCTGCAGAGAAAAATAAAACCTTTTCTTCATTACTCTCAGTGCTCATTTTTACTCCACATGATGATGCTGATGAAGATGGAGGGAGCTCAGGAGTGTTACCTGCTGCAGCTGCAGCCTGAGCTCAGGCCTCAGGGCTGTTAGTAGGAAGAGCAGCCTCAGCTTGTAGAACTGGCCAGTTGGGGGCGCCCTACTCCACATCCCCTGCTTCAGACTCTCCCACAATCCCTGCAGCAGCCTTCCCATGGAAACAGAGAGGAAGCACACACTGAGGCCAGGGGTTGCTAAGCAGTTCTGCTCATGCACCAACATTTGGATGGATGAATAGATGCCTTCCAGACGCTCCTGCAGGTTTAAGGTTTGATTAACAGACTGTTGCTGAACTGCAACTATTAAAATCAGCTGAGCTGAAGCAGGGAAACCTCTGAAACCTGCAGGAGGGCCCTGGAGGACGGACGCTGGACATGCCTGCTCTGGAGGGATGAGGAGGTCTGATCTGACAGCAGCTGCAGCAGTCAGACCTGCAGCAGCTCATAGAGTCTCAGCAGAACGTGAAACTGTCCTCACCTATCAGCTGCCATAGGTCCCCCTATTAACCAGCAGCCCCCCCATAGGATAAGGAGAGGAAGATGAGGGACAGGAGGACTCTGACTCTTTCATAACCCGGAGTGATACTCAAAATGCTTTATTCTCTTTCAGCCTTCAGGCAGCTTTATCATTTGTAAAATTATCCTCTAGAACGTACAGAACCAAACCCCTCACATTGGTAACCTTGGTAACCTTGGTAACCTTGGTAACCTTCACCTCAACGACCTCCAGTTTGGTCTCATGGTTCCTGCTGTTCATCCATTTTCCTGACGCTCTGCAGTGCAATAAAACCTGGAGATTGACTTTGCTTCTCCTTCCTCAGTGACCTTCCACCAACATTCAGCTCATCTCACCACAGCCTGGATGTTTGTTCACATCAAAGCAACAGAAACAGCCGTAAGACGGACTGGGACTCCGACTGGGGGAGCCAATCAGAGCAGAGCTGGTGGAAGCTAGGCCAGTGGACCATCTGCAGACATGAAAAGTTTCTGTTTGTCTTGGAGGAGACTGAGTGTTAGCAGAGAAGTGCGACTCCTCGCCAGGGAGATAAAAGCATCTAAAGAGTGACTGACCCCAAAGCCCCTCATCCCCCGCTGTGCTGCAGACCACCGCCATTAAGCATCACCTACAGCCTCCACGCTTCTTCCATCTCATACTATTGTATTATCATATAATACAGTGAGATAATAATATTATTATTATTAGTTCAGTCATTTAATGTGACATCATTAAAACTCAGAATCAAGCAACATGTAGTTTCTGGTCAAACGTTTTCTTTTCGTTATGCGTCTTTAATAAGCATCACTGGGATCCTACAGAATAGGTTTGTTCTCTGCTTCCAAAGTCAGCGTCTCTTCATCCACGCCTGCCAAAAGACGTTACTCTAGGAAGTCGAGGCGACGGTATTTGATACATTTTTAAGCTTTTCAGAATAAAAGAAATATTTAATGGAGATGAAAAACTGCTTCCTTGTATATTTTGTAATAGTTGGCATCGTTTAAAACGGTCTTTGTTTTTTTAGAACTATATGAAAATGATGCTCTAACTTCTAACTACCGATCAATCGTTATCCTAGCATGAGTACGGACTCATGTTCTCATCAAGTATTTTTCTTGACTAGAACCCAGGAAAGTCTGGACTGTGGGAGAACGGGAGCACATTAGGGTGACACTTTTTTTCGGGGGGTGGGTCATGGACCGCTGACTAGATCTGGACCAGAAATTCTAATCGAGCCATGAGCTCCGGGGCTCCTGGTCCAGGTCCAGAGCCAGCCGGGGATGGAGCGACCGAACCCGGCACTATGCTTCCCCCCGCAACGGTAAGGCAAAAATATACAAACTACTGCTGCGCTGTAGTCGACCAAAATCCTGGATGATTTTGAAATTCCCCCCACACATATTTTTAGGTCTGAAGTAGGACATGTCCGGGAAAAAGAGGATGTCTGGTCACCCTACTCAGCATAAATCTGGGTCAATTGGAACAGAAGCGTACTGATGACATCATCACATTCGAAGCTAGTCTGGAGCTGCATTTCACCTCCTTTTATTAATATTGTCTATATATATATATATATATATATATATATAATTTATATATATATATATAAATTATGACTTTTTACATTTAGTGTGGAAATAACAATAAACAGATAAACAAAAATCAAATGAACATTTTGCCAAATAAAACAATCAAACCTCCATCAGAGCCAGCGGTACTTCACAAATGGCTATGTAGAGAGAGGGCTAGCCCTGGCTGCTGCAGACGGGCTAACGTTAGCCCTGGCCGCTGCAGACGGGCTAACGTTAGCCCTGGCCGCTGCAGACGGGCTAATGTTAGCCCTGGCTGCTGCAGACGGGCTAACGTTAGCCCTGGCTGCTGCAGACGGGCTAACGTTAGCCCTGGCCGCTGCAGACGGGCTAACGTTAGCCCTGGCCGCTGCAGACGGGCTAATGTTAGCCCTGGCTGCTGCAGACGGGCTAATGTTAGCCCTGGCTGCTGCAGACGGGCTAATGTTAGCCCTGGCTGCTGCAGACGGGCTAACGTTAGCCCTGGCTGCTGCAGATGGGCTAACGTTAGCCCTGGCCGCCGCAGATGGGCTAACGTTAGCCCGCTGTAGACAGGCTAACGTTAGCCTGCCTGCAGCAGCCAGGGCTAACGTTAGCCTGTCTACAGCGGGCTAACGTTAGTGCTCCACCAGACGTATGATGGCGGAGCGGTGACGGAGGATGTGGAATTACCCTCTGTACTTACATGCTGAACGATAAAGATATTTTTGAAATCGTTACCTGAGTGCGCTGGCTCTCTCTTGAGCCCGGGGGCTGTTGTAAATGATGTTACATAAGACTTTTATGGCCTCCTTCCTGCACACATCCCCATCATCCTCCTTCCTTTCTTCCTCGCTCTCCTCTTCCCGGGCGTCTTTCTTCCCAGGAGCGAGCACCAGGGGGCCCTCGTTTTCTCGCTGTTTAAGGCGGTGACCATAGCAGTCGTTTGTATCCAAACCACTAGCCTCTTTGTTGGGATCGGAAAAGGAAACGTCACACCTCTCATCAGCATCTGTTGATCCCTGACAGTCACTTCTCTGTGTTCTGTCCCGCTGAGCTTCGGTCATCCCGTCCTGCTGCTGGCAGGGCTGCAGTAGATCAATTCCTCCTAGATGTGCCAAAATGAAAAGTGCACTATCCGTGACCATCGGCCTGAGGGCTCTGCGATCACGGGACAGGATCCGCAGAGTCTGAAGACAAGCCCGTAACACTCCAGGCTGCAGCTGACCACTGACGAAGCACAGCAGGGCTGCAGCCAGATCCTGCAGAACAACCGTCAGGGTCAAAGGTCAGTTTACAATCAATGGATGCTTAAACAGTCTTCAATGCTGTGGTGTAGATGGAGCTTCTGGAGCGGACAGATTCCACCCCTCTACTGGCCTACCTCTCTGAGAAGAAGGTCCGGCTTCTCATCGTCCGAGTCCATGTCTGAATCCGAGTCAGGAGCGCAGTCCCTTATCTTGTTCTTCCTGAACTGATGAATCAACAGAGATAATTAGAGCAACGAAAGATCAAATAATTTTACCGTTTCACATTCATGCTCTCTCTATCAACCGTCCTTTTGTGAGACTTTCAGCCTTTCAGGTGATGGCCGACCCCATCCCAGCATCTGTGCTCCACGGGTCAGTAGAACAATGACAATTCCACCTTTACCTGAACTTTATCCAAGCTTGAGTTGAAGCTTCAGTTTCAGGAGAAGTCTTAGTATCTGGATTAATCATGATTAGTTTTATTTAATCATTCTGGCTTCCTTCATGAGTGAAACTTTTCCATTATAATCCAACTAAAGGGTTCAGTAGATCCTCCTCTATCCGAGTAATAGAAGGTTTCCAGGTAAATTGTCTCCTTTTAGACATTTCTTCTTCTTTAAACAGATATAACTGACATTCATCAGCATAGCATTGCCATAGCCAGGCTGAATCCCCCCCTAACCACTAACCCTTCACTATCAATGAAATCCCACTCACAGCTGTGGTAGGCACCTGGATTGAAGGTGGGATTTAAACATTAATGGGACGCCCTCTTTCCTCCAATGGAAAGGGAAAGTATTCGTTCCTATGGCAACGCAGTAACGCTGCATGTAGGCTGTAGCTCTGTGGTGCATGTTAACATGACATACATTTGTCATTTTCTTTAAAAAAAAATCTATCAAGTTAAATCATAACTATTCCAACGAGGAGCTTCCATTTAGGGATAAATGACGTAATTTTTCTGTCAGGATGATGAAGATGCAGCAAACAGCAGAACTTAGACTTGAATGAACGTGTTTCCTCCTCCACGAGTTCACTGTTACACCTGCTGCCAAATTCAGCGAGTCTGCGCTGATGGAGATTCGGTGTTTAAGGGCTGAAAGGGCCACAGGCCCTACCCACTACATGGTTTGGGATGGCCCTTAATGTGGCGGACCCTCAGAGGGAACAGAGAGTTAGTGCTTAGGGGCAAGTTTGGGATTCAGTCCCTCTAACCATAAAACCAGGAAGCAATGAGAACAGGGGAAAAGCAGTGGCTCTAGAACAGAGCCCTGAGTGACTCCACCTGCCACAGGAGCTCAGGACAGTCTAATGCTACGTTCAGACCGGATGCAGCAAAAGCAGCAAAATCGCGTCTGCTGCTTCATTTTTACTGCTTGTACCAGTAAGTTCTGACGCGCGGCTGAAGCAGCTTTGCTGCTCTGGCTGCGCGGTGGAAAAGTGTGTCTGACGCGCGTTGGGCGGAGCTTCACTATCCTTTCTCTGCCTTGCAGCTATATTTGCTGTGATCAGTGGGAATAAAGTAGTTTTAATATGTTTTTAAGTGAGAAAATCCACCTGAAAACTTCATCAGTGCAGTCAGTTCATTCAGATTATTATCCTGCCTTCCAATATTATTTCTGTCGGAGCCGCTCAGACCCCCACATACCGGCGGTGCGCCGACAGAAGGAATCCCTTGAACAGCAGCCTCTGGCCGGGTCGCCTCCTCGCGGTTTACCGCGGCTGCTGGTAGGTGTTTTTCATCTAAATAATCCGATCTGCAGGCACCAGAATAATAAAAGCCAACATATTCTGCCGGCAGATGTATATATTTTAAGTTAATTATGCGTTAATAAACTGTTTAAGAGGAGTAATCAGAGCGGTCTGTGTCATCAGCGCTGTGTCTCTCTCCCAGCCAGCTCCCAGATCCGCTTCTCTGATTGGTTGACGCGGCGCGTCGAGCAGCAAAAATTCAATTTTTCCATCTCGAGCAGCAACGCGTTTGCGGCGCGTCAGATGCTTAAACGCGCCCGACGCGCTGCTTCCGCTGCTCAGACGCACTGCGCCTGCTGCTCAAAACGCGCCGCGGGACCTTTTGCTGCGCCTTGACGCGCGTCAACCATTGACTTTGCATGTAAACTCGCTGCTTCTGTCGCGCCAGCTGCCCCCGGTGTGAACGCAGCATAAGATACTGACACAAGAAGAAGAGAACAGGTGCTTCTCAACGTACCCTGAGCTAGCACCAACAGCAGTTCTGAGGAGAGAATATGCTGACCCACAGCCAAAGGACCCTAAAGGACCCCCACTCTAACCCGGCACCAAGGCGTCCCACCTTGACCAGACACCCCCACAGCCCACCCTCTACCAGCATCACCAACATCTGAGATAAACGTCTTTGCTAACACGTTCCTATTCCTGCTAGATGGGTTTTGCTCCAGTGCTGATGAGGCCGTTTTCTCAAACATGGACGGTTCCTTGGATGTTTGGTGGTGAGATTAGATTTAATCTCAATCTGAAACAGGTTCTATTACCAGGAGCCTTTTCTGTTTAAATGTTTGTGATTAGAGGTAACCAGACCTACTGAAAAACGATCACCACCTGAACTAAGATTTCTGCACTGAAGCTCAAGCATGTTAGCATAGAGAAGGTCAACCCATGGTGATATTTATGGGTCATCTAAACTGCTTTGGACACACAGTAAGACATGATTAATCGCTTCTGGAGGACACCCATGCTTACAGACACTGGGCGTGACTAATCACCTTTTCAGATTACTGTAAAACAGTGTGAATCCAGCGTCAGCATATCTCTGCCTGGGCGGTTTGTTTACCTCTTCCAGTCTTTGTTGCTGCAGTAAGGTTGTCCACCATCGTCAGCCACATGCATGAAAACAGGGAAAAAAAGAAACGGCTGTTAGATTTAGAATGAGTGGAGCTGAGTAGACAGACCGAAACAGAAAGTTTGCATCATCCTGCTGTTTCACTTTCGCACTGGTTTTAGGAGCTTTTCATTTGGTTTGGCTGTAGAGGGAATAAAATGCAGCTTTCTGCAGCCTGATGTTCTCTGGTTGGAAGTCGGACATTCATCTGCCCAAATGGGACCCAATGAAAGGAGAAGATTCACTCAAATGTTTGGATCAAATGTTAAAAATAACAATAGGTTTTCATTGTCTTGAGGAAGACTAGTTCAATTTTATTCAATTCAGTTTATTTCTACAGGTGCTGGTCATAAAATTAGAATATCATGAAAAAGTAGATTGATTTCAGTAATTCCATTTAAAAAGTGAAACTTGTATATTATATTCATACATTACATACAAACTCATATATTTCAGATGTTTATTTTGTTTAATTTTGATGATTACAAATGACAACAAATGAAAATCTCAAATTCATCATATCAGAAAATTAGAATATTGTGAAAAGGTTCAAAATTGATGGCCCCTGGTGCCACACTCTAATCAGCTAATTAACTCAAACCACCTGCAAAAGCCTTTAAATGGTCTTTCAGTCTAGTTCTATAGGCTACACAATCATGGGGAAGACTGCTGACTTGACAGTTGTCCAAAAGACGACCATCGACACCTTGCACAAGGAGGGCAAGACACAAAAGGTCATCGCTAAAGAGGCTGGCTGTTCACAGAGCTCAGTGTCCAAGCACATTAATAGAGAGGCGAAGGGAAGGAAAAGATGTGGTCGAAAAAAGTGTACAAGCAAGAGAGATAACCGCACCCTGGAGAGGATTGTGAAACAAAACCCATTCAAAAATGTGGGGGAGATTCACAAAGAGTGGACTGCAGCTGGAGTGAGTGCTTCAAGAACCACCACACACAGACGTATGAAAGACATGGGTTTCTGCTGTCGCATTCCTTGTGTCAAGCCACTCTTGAACCACAGACAGCGTCAGAAGCGTCTTGCCTGGGCTAAAGAGAAACAGGACTGGACTGCTGGTGAGTGGTCCAAAGTCATGTTCTCTGATGAAAGTAAATTTTGCATTTCCTTTGGAAATCAAGGTCCCAGAGTCTGGAGGAAAAGAAGAGAGGCACTTCATCCACGTTGCTTGAAGTCCAGTGTAAAGTTTCCACAGTCAGTGATGGTTTGGGGTGCCATGTCATCTGCTGGTGTTGGTCCATTGTGTTTTCTGAGGTCCAGGGTCAACGCAGCCACATACCAGGAAGTTTTAGAGCACTTCATGCTTCCTGCAGCTGACCAACTTTTTGGAGATGCAGATTTCATTTTCCAACAGGACTTGGCACCTGCACACAGTGCCAAAGCTACCAGTACCTGGTTGAAGGACCATGGTATCCCTGTTCTTAATTGGCCAGCAAACTCTCCTGACCTTAACCCCATAGAAAATCTATGGGGTATTGTGAAGAAGAAGATGCAATACACCAGACCCAACAATTCAGAAGAGCTAAAAGCCACTATTAGAGCAACCTGGGCTATCATAACACCTGAGCAGTGCCACAGACTGATCGACTCCATGCCACGCCGCATTGCTGCAGTAATACAGGCCAAAGGAGGCCCAACTAAATACTGAGTGCTGTACATGCTCATACTTTTCATGTTCATACTTTTCAGTTGGCCAACATTTCTATAAATCCTTTGTTTTTATTGGTCTTCAGTAATATTCTAATTTTCTGATATGATGAATTTGAGATTTTCATTTGTTGTCATTTGTAATCATCAAAATTAAACAAAATAAACATCTGAAATATATGAGTTTGTATGTAATGTATGAATATAATATACAAGTTTCACTTTTTAAATGGAATTACTGAAATCAATCTATTTTTTCATGATATTCTAATTTTATGACCAGCACCTGTATAGCGCCAATTTCCAACACGTCATCTCAAGGCACTTTCCAGTTCACCAGATCATCCAGTCAGATTGATTCAAAGTTTTCTATCTAAGGAAAACCAGCTGATTGCATCGACTCATTGACTCTTCAGCAATCCCTCACACTAAGCATGCTTGTAGCGACAGTGGAGAGGAAAAACTCCCTTTGAACAGGAAGAAACCTCCAGCAGAACCAGGCTCAGTGTGAGCGGCCATCTGCTGAGGCCCACTGGGGTTCAAGGAGACAGAAGCAGACATAGAAAAAGAAGCATAGATACAAAAGGCAACTGTCAACCAGCTCCACAGGCGGCCCCGTCCAGGAAACACACAGCCAGGCAGACGAGCTCCGAGCCAGCTCCCATGTCAGAGGATGAAGAGAGCACATCCAGTTAGTCACAGTCAGAGAAACAGGACTACACTGGAAAACAGGCCAAGCTCCAACATCTAGAAACAAAGGTGTTGATGGCAGCAGCACAGCTGATATTTCTCTCCAGGATGGAGTCACAGCCAAACAGGAACAGACCAGATGAAGCTACTATGAGAAAAAGCAGAGAGAGCAGAACATTCGTTAAAACGTTGATGATGACTCATCAGACAAAGAAAATCTGTGACATTTCTTCCTATTATGGATCTAATCTAATCTGTCACGATCTGAAGGATCAAAGATGCTGCACCTCATTTGGCCCCATCCTCCACCGCCTCAGATCAGCTGCTGCATGTTAAAGACAGGCCTGGTGGTCGGACCCCATGGAAGGACCTAGGGATAAACTTTTAACCAATCTGACTGGATCATCTCTGTAAAGAGCCTTGAGATGACGTGCTTTGAATTGACGTTATAGAATTAAACTCGAGTGAATTGACGAACTTTCAGATAATCCCCCCAATAAAAAGTCCAATCTATCAGCAAAGGTTATTGTGGCCATGAACTGGGAAAACACCAGAGCAGCACCTAAAGGCACTGGTATTCCTGCCAAGTTACCCATTAGCTTCAAGCTAAACTTTGTTTTGTTGCTCCAACATTAGTTTATTCATGTTGCTGGGATTTATGAACAGACAGCAAAGTTTACCTTCTGATTCACGTTCTGTCGGCACTCTAGAACATATTTACCAGGCTGGGTTAGAAACGCTTCGTTATCACATGTAGCCTGGTAGCTTTAGCTTTAAGTGCCGCCCAGGGCTGTCCGTGAAGGTTCGCCCTGACTCCCCCAAAGAGGACTACAGGCGTTACGCCATTTTAAACGAGGGTCACAACGTTACCTCAACAAACAATTCCCACAACACACCTTGAAAAGTAGTTATCATCCATTGTCACCAGGTGAGCAGATATATCCCAGAATGCTTTGCAGGAGCTTCCCTCACAAAGTTTTATGGGATTTGTTTTGGGGGCGAGAGAGAACAAAGATGGCGCCGTGCGAGGAGGCGGAGTCACATTTAAAGTAGTGATCATCTGTCTGAACAGTCGTTTGACAATGAAGTCCACTATATGGTGTCGGAGGGGTCAGGGGTCAGGGGTCAGGGCAGATGGTTGGACCCAGACCAGGTGTCCCATTTTCTGTGGAAATCTTTCCCTTAATGAAGCTGTTTCTTATTTTAAAATTTTGGAGTTTAATGTTTGAGAAGAGCACGCTGTTATCAGGGCAGCTGGGGGTAGCATGTTATGCTGCAGCAGTAGTTGTCATGGTAACAGAAGCAGAGGGGGAGCACATGTTGTCATCCCCTATGGGTAGCTGTCCTGGGATCCGCTGCAAAAATGAATCATTATTAGTTCAGCTATGCTGATCAATCTGATCAGGGACCTTTGGTGTATATATTTCCACAGCCGCTTTTAATCACCTGACTGATGTTAAAAAACACAATGAGATGCATAATGAAAATATTCACACGTTTTTATAATCTGATATTTCTAAATTTAGTTATTTTGTTTTACTCCTTGACATGTATAGCCCCCACTCTGTTCCCTTCAGACCCCCTTCCTGGGCCCCCACCATGTTCCCCTCTGATCCTCCACCCGGGCACCCACCCTGCTCCCCTCTGATCCTTTACCCGGGCCCCCAACCTGCTCCCCTCTGCTCCTCCAATCAGGCCCCCACCCTGCTCCCCTCTGATCCTTTACCCGGGCCCCCAACCTGCTCCCCTCTGATCCTCCAATCAGGCACCCACCCTGCTCCCCTCTGATCCTTTACCCGGGCCCCCAACCTGCTCCCCTCTGATCCTCCAATCAGGCCCCCACCCTGCTCCCCTCTGATCCTCCACCCGGGCCCCCAACCTGCTCCCCGCTGATCCTCTACCCGGGCCCCCAACCTGCTCCCCTCTGATCCTCCACCCGGGCCCCCACCCTGCGCCCCTCTGATCCTCTACCTGGGCCCCCAACCTGCTCCCCTCTGATCCTCCACTCAGGCCCCCTACCCTGCTCCCCTCTGATCCTCCACTCAGGCCCCCACCCTGCTCCCCTCTGATCCTCTACCCGGGCCCCCACCCTGCTCCCCTCTGATCCTCTACCCGGGCCCCCACCCTGCTCCCCTCTGGTCCTCTACCCGGGCCCCCAACCTGCTCCCCTCTGATCCTCCACTCAGGCCCCCCACCCTGCTCCCCTCTGATCCTCTACCCGGGCCCCCACCATGTTCCCCTCTGATCCTCCACTCGGGCCCCCACCCTGCTCCCCTCTGATCCTCCACCCGGGCCCCCACCCTGCTCCCCTCTGATCCTCTACCCGGGCCCCCAACCTGCTCCCCTCTGATCCTCCACTCAGGCCCCCCACCCTGCTCCCCTCTGATCCTCTACCCGGGCCCCCACCATGTTCCCCTCTGATCCTCCACTCGGGCCCCCACCCTGCTCCCCTCTGATCCTCCACCCGGGCCCCCAACCTGCTCCCCTCTGGTCCTCTACCCCGCCCCCCCCCCCACCTTAAGGAAGATTTTAACAGGCTGTTTCAGCGTCAGAAGGTCAGGAAACCTCCAGGATGGGAAGCCCCCCCGGGCTGCCTCAGCTCTGTTAGTTCTGGCTTTGCTTCTTTCTCTCTTCCATAAATCCCAGGCTTGAATCCCTGACCTTCTGCTGTGTTACTGATGGTTTGATGTTCTGATCACCTGACCTCTAATGGCAGCTGGTTACAGAGCAGCTTCCAGATAAAACCTGGAGGATCTAACAGTCTGCTCACTGACCTTTTTCCTCTCCTGGGCCTCAGTGTTGAAGAAGAAGCATTCTGCATGCTGTGGAGGGAGAAAAGATTTTTTATTTTGAATGTGAACAGAATTTTTTGATGAAGACGGCCTCCTGACGCCGTGGCAGCAGGACGTCAACCTGACAGAGCGCACCAACCCTGTGCTCCCTGCTTCAGCTAACATCCCCAACCTTCTTCCAGGCAATGACAACCTTTTCCCATCCACCCCTTTACACTGTTTCCATGGTTACAAAAAAGAATATGCCTTGATGGCAACCGTGGGTAACCTGGGTGTTGTAGTTGTCCAGCAGGAGCTGGACGGCGTCCTGGTCTCCAAGGCCGATGCTCTGGATGATCCTCTCCACGTCCGGCGCCATGCCTGGTCCAGAAACAGTCCAGAATTATCAGCCAGCTCTGCAGGAACTGCACAATGTCCTGAAATGAACAAGTGATAAACAGACTGAACCTGAAGCTGATGAAGTTCTAGTGTGGATCAGTTCTGAGCTCAGACTCCTGCGGGTTCCTCCTACTAACACTGGGTTCTTTGAAGGAGCTGCTGCTCTTAGCTCAGCGTCTCCGTCCTGCAGATGAGCCACAGCCTGCCTGAGCCTAACCGCCTGGATCCTCTCCTCCTCTCTAAGCCATGGATAAACTCTCAGCCCTCCCCTCCGCGCTCTGCTGCATCAGCTGCTCCACATTTCAACAGGTAGGATTCACTCTGGGCTAAATAAAGATCAGATACCAGAGAGGGTCACTTCCATCACAGCAGCACTGGGCGAAACTGTGACCTCATCAGACTACTGGTCACCGATTGGTCATCATCAGTTCATTAACCTGAACTAAAGCTAAACCAATGTCAGCGTTTCCCAGCTCCCACCCTGAGCCTCATTCAGCTGATCGTTGTTCTTCTGTCGGCTTTACTTCGCACCGCATCTCAACCCGCAAAAATATAAACTTTTTTAGTTATTTAAATAACCGAAATGCTTCTTTTCCTTATTTACTGGAAAAAAAGTCAGTTTATCTCCAAACTAAAGACTTCTGCTGATGATGCATTTACTGGGATGAGGAACCTTTGTTCAGGAAGGGGCCACGACCCTTTGGCTCCGAGCAGAGGGCCACACAGATAAGCATTTACAATAAAGCTGTCGGTTTAGAAAACATTTATGTTTGCAAACCATACTTATATAAACCTATTAGAACTATTTTCCAGCTCATACAGTAAATAAAGCCAAGCTGCTCTCTAGCTTTAAGCTACAGAAAAACAACCAGAGCGTCGAAGCATCAAAGCAGCTGGACCAGCGTTTGATCCAGCGTCCATATTTCAGTCTTTAGGCGTTTGTGACGCCCAGAACGCGTTGGCTGTGAACGCACCTTTAGAGATAGGGCTCAGACCTTGCAGGGTTCAGGGGCCCCCAGTCATCAACAATGATCTAGAACATTTAGAGCTGTAGTATAAATTACTGCTGAAATGTAGCCACTGATGCTTGGTGTCCATTTAGTGGACAGGAAACCAATTAATTCTCCCCAATATGAATTTTATATTCATAAAAATATATCAGCAGTATTATAGTTACTATGTGCTGCCCTGTTTTAACTCTCAGGGTCTTTGGAGGATTTACAGAATTTTCCTGAGCTGCTGAAAATGGTTGGATGTCTGTCAACCGTCTTGGATTGCAAAATATATGGATGCACTTCACTAGACGGCCAGTAGATGGCGTTGGAAGGAGTGATTGTAAAATAAAAATAACAAGGAATTGGATTAACTCTGCAGTGATATGTGTGCATAAAGAGAGTCAAATTATTTTAGACACAGATGATAAACTAGAGTTCATTTCATGTCATTTTAAGCTGTTTTACTTCCTTTTGTCAAATACAGAAATTTCATGTACAGAAGAGCAACTGCCGACTAGAGAACGGAACGCTGTACAGTATTTACAGAACCGTAGGAAATATCAACAAGAAACAGATAAAAATGACCAACATTAAACATTTAGGCCGGGTCATCTTTTCTTCTCTATTGATTTTGGAATAAAAACGTGCTTCATGTTGGGTCAATAAACCATCTTTTAGAAAAGAAACAGAAACATCATGGTTTGGATCAGAACTCTTTTCCAGCTTGTCCTCCATCCTGATGATTGGACAAATATCATAGAGTTCAGCAGAACCTCATTTCAATCAATAAACGAGGAAGGTTTCCTTCATCTCTTTAAAGTATTCTTCAAAAATAAGAACAAACACTTAAAAATGTGACTGTATACATTTTACATTCCAGATGTAATAAAACACCTTTATAGATAGCTTGTGGATGTCGATCAAATTTCTTCTGTTCCACCATATTCATCCACTATTGGTCAGAACCTTCTTTAGAATCAAGAGGTTCTTAGGAAACGTTCCTCATAAAAACACATTCCATCTAGAAAAGTCATAGATAACTGATGTTCTCTGGTTGTTTGCGTGGTGAGCTGTCATAGAACTCATCCAGTCTGGGTCCTCCTCCTCCTCCTTCAGGCCTTTGCACTAAGGCTGAGCAGCTCCACGAAGGAGCTGAACAGGTCCTCCAGCCAGGCCTGGTTGGCCATACATTGCTGCACCACCTCCTCCTGGCCCGGGTCCTCCGCCGCCTGCTCCACGTTCCCCGCCTGGACAGGAGACAGCAGAGTCCGTCAGCCTCAATGGTTCTATGGTTTCATGGTTCTATAGTTCTATTCCATGGCTCTATAGTTCTATGGTTCCATAGTTCTATGGTTCCATGGCTCTATAGTTACATGATTCTATTGTTCCATGACTCTATATTTCTATGGTTATATGGCTCTATAGATCTATTGTTCTGTGACTCTATAGGTCTATGGTTATATGGCTCGATTGTTCTATGGTTCCATGGTTCTATAGTTACATGGTTCTATTGTTCCATGACTCTATAGTTCTATGGTTATATAGCACTATAGTTCTATGGTTCCATAGTTCTATGGTTTTACGGTACCATAGTTCTATGGTTCCAGGGCTCCATAGTTCTATGTTTCCATGGCGCTATAGTTCTATGGCTTCATAGTTCTATGGCTCCATAGTTCTATGTTTCCATGGCTCTATAGTTCTATGGCTCCATGGCTCTATAGTTCTATGGCTCCATGGCTCTATAGTTCTATGGTTCCATGGCTCTATAGTTCAATAGTTCTATGGCTCCATGGCTCTATAGTTCTATGGTCCAATGGCTCTATAGTTCTATGGCTCCATGGCTCTATAGTTCTATGGCTCCATGGCTCTATAGTTCTATGGTTCCATGGCTCTATAGTTCTATGGTCCAATGGCTCCATGGCTCTATAGTTCTATGGTTCCATGGCTCTATAGTTCTATGGTCCAATGGCTCCATGGCTCTATAGTTCTATGGTTCCATGGCTCTATAGTTCTATGGCTCCATGGCTCTATAGTTCTATGGTCCAATGGCTCCATGGCTCTATAGTTCTATGGTTCCATGGCTCTATAGTTCAATAGTTCTATGGCTCCATGGCTCTATAGTTCTATGGTCCAATGGCTCTATAGTTCTATGGCTCCATGGCTCTATAGTTCTATGGCTCCATGGCTCTATAGTTCTATGGTTCCATGGCTCTATAGTTCTATGGGTTCATGCCTCCATAGTTCTTTGGTACCATGGCTCAGTAGTGCTATGGTTCCATGGTTCTATTGCTCTATAGTTCTATGGTTTAATGGTTCCATGGCTTTATAGTTATATGGCTCCATGGCTCTATAGTTCTATTGTACCCTGGCTCTACAGTTCTATGGTAAAGTGGTTCTATAATTCTATGGTTCCATAAAGTTATGGTTCCATGGCACTATAGTTCTAGGATTCCATGGTTTTATAATTCCATGGCTCTATAGTTCTATGGTTCCCTGGTTCTATAGTTTATGGTTCCATGGCTTTATAGTTCTATGGGTTCATGCCTCCATAGTTCTTTGGTACCATGGCTCAGTAGTGCTATGGTTCCATTGTTCTATTGCTCTAAAGTTCTATGGTTTAATGGTTCCATGGCTTTATAGTTATATGGTTCAATGGCTCTATAGTTCAATTGTACCCTGGGTCTATGGCTCCATGAGTCTGTAGTTATATGGTTCCTTGGATCTAAAGTTCTATGGTTCCATGGGTCTATAGTTCTATCGTTCCATGGTCCCATGGTTCTATGGCTCTATAGTTCTATTGTAGACTGGTTCTATGGCTCCATGAGTCTATAGTCATATGGTTCCATGGCTCTATAGTTCTATTGTTCCATGACTGTATAGTTCTATGGTTCCATGGGTATATAGTTTTGTGGCTCCATGGTTCCATGGTTCTATGGCTCTATAGTTCTATGGTTCTATGGCTCTATAGTTCTATGGTTCCATGACTGTATAGTTCTATGGTTCCATGACTGTATAGTTCTATGGTTCCATGGGTATATAGTTTTGTGGCTCCATGGTTCCATGGTTCTATGGCTCTATAGTTCTATGGTTCTATGGCTCTATAGTTCTATGGTTCCATGACTGTATAGTTCTATGGTTCCATGACTGTATAGTTCTATGGTTCCATGGCTCTATAATTCTATGGTTCCATTGCTATATTTTTCTATAGTTCTATGTTCCCATGGTTCTAAGGGTTCAGCTTCAAAATGACTTTCTGAAGTAGTAGATAGAGCACACAAACGAGCGGCAGTTCAGTTCCTAATTTTCTTAGTTTTTGCTAAATGTTTGCATTTTTTATATCCTCCACCTGCTTTGGTCACCAGTGAGATCTGCAGACAGAAGAAGACGCAACCAAAAACAGGTTTTCTCCTTTCTGCTTAATTGCAAAAGCAAATCATTTTGCACCTTCTCTACAGTCTTGTCCACCCATTAAAAACAGCAGTTTATGAGGCAACTTAACCTGCTGAGGATCAAACCAATACTGTTTATAGACCAATAACTTTCAGTTTTCCTCACTAAACACCTCTGATGACTTTATTCACAAGAGTCAGAGTCAAGGGGGTTAGAAGAAGTAGAGTTGTGTGGCTACACTCCAGCCAGAGCAGACGTCTAGACTAAGATGATTGAAAGCTGAAGCAGAGGACAGGTATAGGTGACATCACAGAGGGGGGGACGGCTAGCCTGGAGCTGCCTTACCTCCCTCTTGCAGTGCAGGAAGGTGTGATACTTGTAGTGGTGCAGAGAATGGTACAGGCTGTAGATCCGGCAGGTTTCCATGGAGAGCTTCATATCCTGGGGAGGGAAAGAGGAAAGCTTAGGCAGATTTATCCATCATTTAGTTTACACCAGTTTAAAGATTGTTAAGAACAGCTCTCTGAACAATTTCTTTTTTATTTTAAGGTGCAGCCTTAAAAATCTATATAAAAACAGTAATATAAACATATGACAGTTCTAACATTTCAGTTTTTTTTTCTTTTTTTATATAATAATAAAATATAATAACATACAATACATGAACCTATTTAATATAACAGTTGATCAGTGTGATGGCGGTGGAGAAGAAGCTGCTGCAGAACCTGCTGGTCCTGCATTGAATGCTGTGAAGCCTCTTCCCAGAGGGCAGCAGGGAGAACAGTCCATGGTGGGGGGGTCATTGATGATGTCACGGGCTCGGGACACGCAGCGCTGGGATGAAATGTCTTTAATGGAGGGAAGAGGAGACAGCTGCTCAGAACGCTCTCTATGGGGCTTCTGGAGAAGGTGGGGAGGATGGGGGGGGGGCAGGTGGGCTCTCCTCATCCTCCGCAGGAAGTCCAAGCGCGACCAGTGAGGTGGTGTTTCCAGTCCAGGTGAGGGTGTCTGTGATGAATGTGGTGCTGCTGACCACCTCTACAGCTGAGCTGTTGATGAGCAGTGGAGCGTGGTCAGGCCGCTTCTTCCTGAAGTCCACCATGATCTCCTTGGTCTTCTCCACCTTCAGGATCAGGCTGTTATCTCTGCTCCACCAGCTGCTCCACCTCCTCTCTGTAGTCCAGGTCGTTGTCGTCTCTGATGAGGCCCACCGCCGTGGTGTCGTCTGCAAACTTCACCATGTGATCGGTGGTGAACCTGGGGACGCAGTCGTGTGTCATCAGGGTGAACGGCAGGGGGCTCAGGACGCAGCCCTGAGGGGAGGGGCTTAGACCGATGACATCAGAGGCGTTCTGTCCGACCCGGACTGACTGAGGTCTGTTGGTGAGGAAGTCTAGCAGCCAATAGCAGAGGGGTGTATTGAAGCCCAGCTGTTCCAGTTTGCCCATCAGATGCTGTGGGGTGATGGTGCTGAAAGCTGAACTGAAGTCCAGGAACAGCAGCCATCGTGGGTGTTCTTCTCCTCCAGGTGTGCCAGGCTCAGGTGGAGAGCAGCAGAGATGGCGTCCTCAGTGGAGCGGTTCCGCCGGTAGGCGAACTGGAACGGGTGGAATGTTGGCGGCAGACTGGAGACGATGTGTTCTTTAACCAGCCTTTGGAAGCACTTCATCATGATGGGAGTCAGAGCGACAGGCCGCTAATCATTGAGGGAGGCGACCTGAGGCTTCTTTGGGACTGGAATAATGGAGGCAGACTGGAAGCATGCTGGCACTATGGATTGGTTCCAGCCAGGTGTTAAAGATGTCTGTGAGGACACCAGCCAGCTGATCTGAACACTCCTTATACACCCGCCCAGGTATGTTATCAGGCTCTGGGGCTTTCCTTGGGTTGACTCTCCTCAGAGTTTTTTCACTTCAGCTACATCCAGGTTTAGTGCCTCCTCCCCCTGGTGTGGAACAGCTTTCACTGCTGGACGCTGTTTAGTGCCTCAAACCTTCCAAAGAATTGTTCAGTTTATTTAGGAAGTCCGTGTTTGCTGCATCTACCGGGGGAGAGGGTGTGTTGTAGTCTGTGATCATCCGAATGCCTTTCCACATCCTCCTGGTGATGCTGTCATTGTGGAAAAGATCCTGGATCTTCTGGCTGTGGTTCTGCTTCGCTGATCTGATGGTTTAAGTTTCCTCTCGCTGTCCTCACTGCCTCTTTATCATCAGACCTGAAAGCTGAGTTCGCTGCTTTTAGCGATTTCTGAACCTCTCCATTTATCCAGGGTGGTTGGTTGGCCCGGGTGGTGATGTTCTTTTTTATCCGGACGTCCTCAATGCATTTGTTAGTGTAGGCTGACACGGTCATGGCATACTCATCTATATTTTATAATTCAGTTCTATTCAGTTTATTTCTATAGCTCCAATTCCCATCATGTCATCTCAGGTCACTTTCCAGTTCACCAGATCAGGAAAACCAGCTGATTGCATCGACTCATTGACTCTTCAGCAATCCCTCACACTAAGCATGCTTGTAGCGACAGTGGAGAGGAAAAACTCCCTTTGAACAGGAAGAAACCTCCAGCAGAACCAGGCTCAGTGTGAGCGGCCATCTGCTGAGGCCCAGTGGGGTTCAAGGAGACAGAAGCAGCGTAACTATAGAGATAGCTCAGGATAATTCAATTCAATTCAATTCAGTTTATTTATATAGCGCCAAATTCACAACACATGTCATCTCAAGGCACTTTACAGTTCAACCAGATCAAATTGATACAAAGTTTTCTATCTAAGGAAAACCAGTTGATTGCATTGACTCATTGACTCAAATACAATCCCCCACACTAAGCATGCTTGTAGCGACAGTGGAGAGGAAAAACTCCCTTTTAACAGGAAGAAACCTCCAGCAGAACCAGGCTCAGTGTGAGCGGCCATCTGCCGAGGCCGACTGGGGTTCAAGGAGACAGAAGCAGAGATACAAAAAGCAGCTGTAAAAGGCGGCCCCGTCCAGGAAACACACAGCCAGGCAGACGAGCTCCAAGGCAGCTCCCATGCCAGAGGACGAAGAAAGCACATCCACTCAGTCACGGTCAGAGAAACAGGACCACACTGGAAAACAGGCCGATCTCCAACATCTATAAACAAGGGTGTTGATAGAAGCAGCACAGCTGATGTTTCTTTCCAGGATGACGTCACAGCCAAACAGGAACAGACGAGGCAAAGCTACTCTGAGGAAAAGCAGAGAGAGCAGAAGGTTAGAGATTGAACTAACAGATTCTGCAGAATAGGAGAACAGAGAGAGAATGAAGCAGAATGATGAAATGGGGGTCCCTATGTCCTCCAAAAGTCTAAGCCTATAGCAGCATAACTATAGAGATAGCTCAGGATAACCTGAGCCACTCTAACTATAAGCTTTATCAAAAAGGAAAGTTTTAAGCCTAGCCTTAAAAGTAGACAGGGTGTCTGCCTCACGGACTAAAACTGGTAGTTGGTTCCACAGGAGAGGAGCCTGATAACTAAAAGATCTGCCTCCCATTCTACTTTTAGAAATTCTAGGAACCACTAGTAAACCTGCAGATTGAGAGCGAAGTGCTCTGTTAGGAACATAAGGAACAATCAGATCTCTGATATCAGATGGAGCTTGGCCATTTAAGGCTTTATATGTGAGAAGGAGGATTTTAAATTCTATTCTTGATTTAACAGGAAGCCAATGAAGAGAAGCCAGGACAGGCGAGATATGATCTCTCTTTTTAATTTTCATTAGAACTCTGGCTGCAGCATTTTGGATCAGCTGAAGGCTTTTAACTACAGTTTGTGGACTTCCTGATAGTAAAGAATTACAATAGTCCAGCCTTGAAGTAACAAATGCATGGACTAGTTTCTCAGCATCACCCCTGGACAGGATATTTCTAATTTTTGCAATGTTCCTCAGATGAAAGAAGGAAATTCTAGAAACCTCTTTGATGTGGGATTTAAATGACAGGTCCTGATCAAAAACAACACCAAGATTTTTTACTTTATTATCTGAAATCAGTTTAATCCCATCCAAATGAAGTGACTGGCTAATCAGTTTCTTTTTCAGAGACTCTGGTCCAAAGACTATAACTTCTGTTTTGTCTGCATTCAGAAGCAGAAAGTTAAGAGTCATCCAGGTTTTTATGTCTTCAAGACATGCCTGTAATCTATGTAATGGGTTAGCTTCATCTGGATTTATAGACAGATATAGCTGGGTATCATCAGCATAACAGTGGAAATTAATCCCATGCTGTCTAATAATTCTACCAATTGGGAGCATGTATAAAGTAAAGAGAATTGGTCCTAGCACTGATCCCTGTGGTACTCCACAGGTAACCTTTGAGCATGTTGAAGATCTATCATTAACATGAACAAACTGAATTCGATCAGATAGATCAGATTTAAACCAGTCTAGTGCTGTTCCTTTAATTCCAACAAAATATTCAAGTCTTTCTAAAAGAATATTATGGTCAACTGTATCAAATGCAGCACTAAGATCCAACAGGACGAGCACAGATACAAGTCCATTATCTGAGGCCATGAGAATATCATTAGTGACTTTCACCAGAGCTGTTTCAGTGCTATGATGAGCTCTAAAGCCAGACTGAAACTCTTCAAAAAGTTCATTATGGTGGAAGTGATCGCAAACTTGTTTGGCAACTACTTTCTCAAGAATTTTGGATAAGAAAGGAAGATTGGATATAGGTCTATAATTGACCAAGTCATCTGGGTCAAGAGACGGTTTCTTAAGCAGAGGTTTAATTACAGCAACCTTAAAAGCTTTAGGTACATATCCCTGTAACAGAGATAGATTAATCACATCTAAAATGGAGGAGGAGATCAAAGGGAATACCTCCTTAAATAACCTGGTTGGAACTGGATCTAACATACAAGTTGAAGGCTTAGATGAAGACAATAATTTTGCTAATTCAGAGAGTTCAACTGGATCAAAGCAGTCTAAACCCAGTTCAGATTCCATGACTACCTCAGGTACAATCGCGGATAGAGGAGTGCTTATGATCTTATTTTTAATAAGATCAATCTTATTTATAAAGAATCCCATAAAGTCATTGCTGCTAAGAGCAGGTGGAATGGACGGTTCAACAGAGCTATGGCTCTGGGTGAGTTTGGCAACTGTATTAAAAAGAAATCTAGGATTATTCTTATTCTCCTCTATTAATGAGGAGAAGTATGCTGCTCTTGCTTTACAAAGGGTCCTCTTATACAGCAGTAAACCATTTTTCCAGACTAGGAAGGACTCTCGCAGGCCTGTGGAGCGATATTTTCTCTCCAGTTTCCTAGCATTTTGCTTCAAAGTACGCAGCTCTGCATTAAACCAAGGAGCAAGCTTTCTATTTTTAACGGTTTTCATTTTCAAAGGAGCTGCGTTGTCTAAGGCAATACGCAGAGAAATAGCAACCCCATCAACAAAATCATCAACCTGTGAAGGGGAATAAGCTAAACTTTTGCATAAGTGTCATATGTTGCTGCAGCCTAGAAGATGTTCCAGTCAGAGCATTCAAACAGTCTTGGAGTGTCTCCATGGCGCCCTCAGACCACACTCTGACCTCTTTAACTGTCGGTTTAGCCCTGATCAGCTGGGGCTAATATGCAGGGACGAGCATGACAGAGAGGTGATCTGATGACCCGAGGTGGGGGTGGGGCTGCTCTGAATGCATCTTTGATGTTAGAGTAAACCAGGTCTAAATTGTTTTCACCCCGAGTTGCAAAGTCCACATGTTGGTAGAAATGAGGGAGAACAGTCTTCCAGTTAGCCTGGTTAAAATCCCCAGCAATGATGAAAACAGCCTCTGTGTGCAGATTGGAGCTCAGAGATAGCCTGGTATAGAGTCTTCATGGCCTCTTTAGTGTTAGCGCTGGGGGGGGGCATAAACAGCAGTGATGCTAACCACACTGAACTCTCTGGGCAGATAGAACGGCCTGCAGTGAACAGTCAGAAACTCTATGTCTGGAGAGCAGAAGCTGGAGACTGATCCAGCATTTTTATACCAGCTATTGTTGATGTAAACACAGAGCCCGCCCCCCCGAGTCTTAACGCTTAGTTCTTTGTTCCTATCGGTGCGGTATAGCGTTAGCCCCTCCAGGGTAATAGCCTTGTCCGGTATTGCTGGATGCAGCCATGACTCTGTCAGAATGATGGTGCAGCAGTTACTAATCTCCTTCTTTGATGAGAGTTCCAGTCGGAGATTATCCATTTTGTTATCCAATGAGCGGATGTTGGAGAGCAGGATTGATGGAAGCGGAGGACTGTAGGGATTTCTCTGCAGCCTCGTTTTCTCTGTCTCGCACATCTCTTCGTCCTACCGTTATGTTCTGCTGCTGTTTTGTTTAGATCCGTCCGTAGCACTCCGCAGCTTTTTAAACGGTCAAAAATGTCAGGATTTAAAACATTTTGTGACCGTAGCTCCAGCAGGCGTTGGCGATCATAGATGCTGGTTTGATGTCTACTCTGTATCGTATTAAGCGGCATATTTTGTGAAATTATTTGAGTTGTCGAGAGGAGCCGTTCTTGGCCGCCGCTTTGGTTGATTGATGATAGATTGATTGATTAACCTTATTGATCTCACTGTGGAGAAATGTACTTGTTACATCAGCTCAATAGTCAAACAGAAGAAGAAGGTGCCGAAAGAAAAAAAGGTGCATGGGATATATACAGTATATACAGTGCGTCAGTAACTGATGATTCTCCATTGCAGCAGTCATTGCGGTTGTAGTGTGGCATTGTAGCGTCCGGTTGCAGCAGGGATCTGTTCTCTTTCTATCTCCATATTCTTCACAGGGAACTATGGTCTCTATCTAACCCAGAAACCCAGTCAGTCGTAAAACATGTCCCCTCATCACTTCCTCATTTAGGTGGACCTACCTAAGGATTCTCAGGTAAACATTTCTCAGCCCATGTTGTGAATTATGATCAGCAGGTCAGTCTGGATGGGCTGATACTGTGTGAAAGGTCCACCCTGCCTGCAGAACCGTCTGCGGCTGTGATGAAGTACTCATGTTGTTTGGGTCCAGTCTTCTGTGCCTGAGGTCTGTCAGGCCTTTAATCCACAAACAGACCCACTGATTTCCTGCGGACGTCGTTTATTCAGATGTAGCTTTGAAAAGAAGAGCTTCTGATGGAAACCATCTGTTTCCTCTGAACGCCAGGCTAACCTTTAATAGCTAAACTACAGCCAGCGCAGACGCGCCATGATCAGCTCCTGGGAGCCACTTCCTCAAACTGGAGTCTTCTTAGTTTTCACTCACTTATATAAACACTATTTTGGTGCAGACTTTGGTAAAGTGGGCTATTATTGCTCTGCTGGTCTGATCATTACCTTCCATCATGTGACGTATTTCTGTGGACGGAGCTCAGGGAGAGGCAGAAATATTCCGTCCCCAGCACTTAAACAACGGTCGCTAGTTAGTTTATTCTTTTTTCTCCTTTTTTTTTTTTAATACAGCTTTAGGAAATCAGAAATGTCTGAATATGTAACCTAAGGTTTTTCTACTTCATGGGGTCATAATATTTACCTAAAGAAGTCAAGTTAATGGACGGAACCAGATGGGTTGATTCATCCAAACCAGCTGATGGAAGGACGAATGCCTCTGGCTGAATGCTGTGATATCTAGTTCTATGGTCGATATGCTCCATGGTCCAGAATGCTGTGATATGCTGCCGCTTTAGATCAGTGGAAACAGAGGAACCATCTGACCACAAACTGCACTAGCATAGCTGAGGTCCGGCTGTTAGCTCTGACCTCACCGTGATGTAGACAGATAAAAGACCTTTGATTTATTTCCACTGGCCAGCATTCTGCATGTGAACTAAAATCAGACCAAAGATCCAGATATGCAAGCATGATCCGATCTGAGCTTCTGCTGTCAGGGTTGGACATAAACCTGGAACCCAGCATCACCTCCTCACCTGTTGCTTAGCAACACTCTTCTTGACCCGACTGAGGGTCTTACGGCTGTAATCCTCCCCGCCCAGATGGACCCGCACTGCTCCAGACTCCAGAGGGTCAGCTGTCATGTTGGGATAGGTGTGCAGAGCCTCCTGGAAGAAAGGAGGGGGGGGGGGGGGGGGGGGTCAGCTAAGCAAGTAAGAGAACCACAGAAGAAGAATGTGAGGATGTACCTGATGCTGTGCGCTCATGCTGATTCTTCTTAACAGCATCTCCTTCTGGTCTTTCAGCAAGCTGTCGATCTTCCTCATGGGGGGAAGGTAGAGCTCATCTGAGCCGTGAGAGAAGAGAAGAAACGTTTCAGTCAAACCTCTGCAAAGCTAGACTAACAACAACTTCCAGGATCTATGAAGTCATTAACATGGAGCAGCAGTTCTAATCTGCACAGGTTAGACATTCTACATACAGACCTAAACATGAAAAGAGATGTTTTCAGCATCATGAGGTTCTGGGATGATTATGGATGGATATGTGAGTGCCATGTTAGCCAGCTTCCTCCATTCATGACCTGCTGAAAGTTATCAGCCTTAGATCTGAGGTGAAGCTGCAGAACATGGAGGCCGTGCTCCTCAGCCTTCCCCTGTCTCTCCACACTAAGGGCAGAGCTGATCCAACCCATCCTAACTCTCAGCACTGGGGTCTCCTCTGACCATGAAACGTTCCACCTGAGGTTATTTAGTTGGCATCTGCTGCAATCAGCTGGTTTTCCTCAGAACATTCCTGAACCCAGGAGCGTCCGTCTCCTGGATCCTCGAGGACCAAACTCAGGGCTGATATCCTGAGGCTCTAGATGTGTCCTTGGTTCAACACAGCGGAATCCAACAATGAGGACTGGAGGAATTTCCTGCATCCTGAGGAGGTAGTTCAGTCATTTTATTCAGGTGGTTAGATCCTAAAGGAAAGCGGCCCCTGAGGACAGCAGCTGTCCACCCTAGCTTTAACCATCCCTCTGAATGATGTGATCAAATTCTCTGGAAGGATGACGTGTTTGGAAATGGCTCTGAAATGGCAATAGATGAAAAGTTGTTGAACCGATGCTGATTCCTTAAAAACATTCATAAGTCCTCTAGTTTAACTCACCAATGAAACAATGAGATGGACGAAGTTCCTCAGCGTCCTGATGATGGACGCTGAGGAGCTTCGCTATGAGTCCCCGTGTCCTGGTCACTTGGAGACTTACCATCGGTGTCCTCCAAAGCTTGGATCATGTCAGGGTCGAGTGCTGTGCTCACCAGCATTTCCACGTAGCTCCTGAACATCTCCCTCATGTCGCGGCTGTTCACGCCTTCTTGTACGGGGCCTGGAGCGTGGAGACGCTTCAGTCAGGTTATGATACAGAGCAGTAGCTCCTGATTTAGTTTACAAGCTTTTACCAACAAATACATGATATTAGCACAGAGCTTTTCTAATGTTATTTATCATTTCTTTATTGTTTTTTTTTTTTTATATTCTAGGCAGTAAGTTCTGGCAAGGGCTGATTTAGGAAATTTGGGGCCCTCTGAATAGAGAACACATAAACAGCCCCATTCTCCAGATAGAGAAATGTTAATAGAATAGACATCCATTATCTGTTCTAGGTTGTGTCCCTCTCTTCTTGTCCCTTTTCTTCTTGTTTTCCTCTCTATGTTTTGTACTCAGCTGACTTTTCATGCTGTCTCTAAAGGAATGAAAGATTTTTTCCAAGCACTAAGCTCACTTAGCTGATTGCTCCTTCCTGTGTTTCCAAAAAGGCCAAAGTAAATAACCCAGTCCTTCTTTTCACTGCAGACAAGCCATGATCTGCTTATCTGTTCTCCATTTTTCATTTGGATGAAATAATAGCTGCATGAATCATGACAGCAGACAAGATAGAGGAGAGCAGGAGGCGGGGTTACCAATCTACTCGCTCTGGAGAGCAGAGTTCGCTGCTTTTAGATGTTGTCTCCAAAGTCTCCAGTAGCAGAAAAAAGTCTCTAGATTTGGCGCTAGGAGCTTTTTAGAAATCAAAGTGCTAGAGGGGTCTGAAAAGTGGCTAAATATAGCGACTAAAGCGCTAAGTCGTTTAAGTGTTCTGACGGCTTTTTAAATTTTTTTTATTATAAACGTTCTGATGGCATTTTAACGGAAAGATTTTTATCAAAAACATAATTAATGTGCAGAGCCATTAAACATACATGGAAACAGAGTTTTATGGGCCCCCCAGGGACTTGGGGCCCTAGGAAACTGCCTCGTATTGCCTAATGGTAAATCCCCGCCTGACTTGTGGGGATGTATTTCTGCCTTCTTAGAACTTGGAATAGATCTAGGCTTGTTGCTCTGAAGCTCAGGAGAGGTTTTCTGTTGATACTTTTCTTCTGCAAATGTCCCAAACCATGAGAGGAAGGAAAAGCTAACTTTGCTGCAGCTTTCTTTCCTCCATTCTTATACTTCCTGCAGAATTTCAGTGTACTTAATATTTTTTTTGGACAGATGTGTCCTGCTGCTATTTCCTCCCAGTAGCCCCGTTCCCCCCTGTTTAGGACCAAGGTGTGAATTAAGTTAAGGGTTAAGATTAAGGGTTAGAAATGCCTGAGGCCTGTTCCTAAAGCAGGTTTAACAAACTCAGACTAAATTCTGAATTGATCTATCCTCAGGTCAGAAAGTTTTCTAAGTAGATCCACTTAGTGTTGAAGACGTGCTGAACAAGAATGAAAAGCCATTATCAGTGGAGCACCAATTTGACGAGTTACCATGACAACAGACAACAGGAAGTGCCTATTTCATGGCACTGGAACTGGAGATTTTAATCCAAAAAAACAAAATAAAAAAATAGAATGTGTTTAAAAGCCAGAGGAAGATGGAAGATTGTTAGTCAAGTTAAAGCATTTATATGATGTGGCCTATGGCAGGCCGTTTTTATATTTATTAAAAGCACTCTCCTCTCTGTTGTTTCATATGTAGATCACTAAAATAAGATTCTTCCTGATCAAAATCACACTCCTAGAATGAATTTTAAAAATGTTTTCTAAATTACATTTTTGTAGCAGAAACTGAATTTGAGAATTATACTAGCAAGAATTACGTTTTCTATAACTAGAAATGTTTACAAATTTTAGGTGGCCATTTTGACATTTATCAGCATGACTGAAAATATATTTATGATATCTGAAATACATTTCTTCAAAATCAAAATAATGCAAATGCTGACCAGTAATAGGAATATGGAGATCTGAAATTAATTTCTAGACATCCAGAATGTTTATTCTAGATGTGAAGGGTGTCGTTTTTGTTTGAATGGTCATTTAATTGCAGATAAACCAGTTTCCTGCTTGAATGGTAGTGGATCTATTTAGGTGAGATCAGCGGCCAGCAGATGGAGATGAAGTCTAGAATGGTTGCTCTTACAGGAAGGACCTGTTCTTCATCTCATGGGTTCCTCCTCAGCCATCACTGTTCTCTCCCTGATATAATCCAGTTCTGTTAAAGAGGTCTGGAATGCTGCTAATGAGGACGGATTAGGTCTGAATTAAATAGCACTGAGAAACACAACTTCCTGATTGTAAAGGACATCTAGACGCGCTCTGAGAATCCACTCCTATGAAATACTTAATTCCCTGTGAATTAATGTCACTCATCCTTTGATTCGATCCTCGTCTGAAGGACAGCCTATTGTTGCCTTTTAACACCTAATGTCTCTAACGAACCGAGTGAATCATTTTTTTCATTGTTCGCTCAAAACTACGACAAAAATGTCCTGATTAAAATTAGGAAATAAAACAATGTGATTGGCTGTAAGGTGACAGAGGACACTCTGGGTTTAATGAACTAAACCTGGTGCTGACCAGGTTAACTGTTGGAGAATGTTACTATGGTAACAGAGACAGAGGATGAGGGAAACTCTGGGTTTCCCTCATTCAGGTTTAGAAAACTGACAACTGATTATGTTTAGGCTCTGGTTAGTGTCAGGTATGTCTGCTACACCTTAAATCTTCAATTGTACTTTCTGGCCTATTTTTTTAGGGAGAGTGAACAACATAAAGTCAGTAAGTCACCTGTTTAAGTCCTGCCTGCACTGCCTTGAACTTCCTGCTCTGGTTCTCCTTAAAAAAAAAAGTCGCTCATATTCAGAATCCAAACTTCTGAAAGTTCTTTAAATCTGAAATGATTCCATCCTGTTCAATAAATGATCAGTGTTTTTAATTCAGAGTAATTTTCATGTGAATGTGCTTTACTGGAGGCATCCATGTTTGTCAAAGAACACTACTGCCACCTACTGGTTAGTGACGTCACGGTGCGGACCGTTTTTAGAACAAACAGTTGAATGTCATTCATCATGTCCATAATAATGATATGAAGTCTGATCACCATCCTGATTAGCGTGACGGACATGAACGGCCACGCGGAACTGCTGACCTTCATCGTCACTGTGCCGGGAGGAGTCAGACTCGGAGGAGGAGGACGGTACCTCCTTCAGCCACGTCTTCCTCTTCTTTGGTGGAGGCTCAGCTCTGTCTTTTGAAGTCCTCTCTTCTTTTGGACTTCCCAGGCTGCCATCCTGTCCCCGTCTCTTTTCTCTTTCAGCATCTCTTTGCTCCCTTTCTTTCTGCTCCCTCTGCTTCTTTTCTCTTTGCCTCTCCTGTTGGAGGAATTCTGTCCTTCTCTCTTTCCGTTCAAACTCCTGCTGCTCTCTCTCTCTTCTCCGTCTTTCTCTCCACTCTTGTTCTCGTTTCTCTTGCTCTCTCTGTCTGTCCTTCTCCTCTGCTTCTCTCCTCTCTCTCTCTTTCTGCTCATTCTCTCTCTCCTTTTCACTGCTCTCCCTCCGTTCTCGTTCTCTAATAATTTTTTCTTTGTGCTCCCTCTCCTGTTTCTCCCTCTCCTCTCTCCTCTCTCTGGCTCTCTGCTCCTTCAGGTCTCGTTCTTTCTGTCTCTCCTTGTCTCTGTCTTCTCTCTCCGCTCGGGGCTGACTGTGGCTGCTCAGCAGCTGTTTGGCCAGAGACTGCCGTCTGTCAGACAGTAGGTTGGAAGGAAGGACAGACACAGAGTGAGTGCCTCTCCTCAGGCCCCGGATGTTAAACAGTGATTTGGGATCAAGTTGAATCCATAGATGTGAGAAGGACAGCCTGCCACCGTACCTTAGTGCCAGAGCAGTTCGATGCCATGGCTTCCGAGAACACACGCGCACGTAGTCCTTCTTGTTGACGTTCTCCAGGAACTTCACGTATAGACGCTGGTAGCACATTTTGGCATCTCCAAAGTAGCCAAGGTACTGACGAAAAACACAGAGAATCGTAACTGGACTGAAAAAGCTCATTATGTGTTATTAACCAGTTCAAACACTAACGTCAGATTTAAACTGGGATTTTATGTGACAGACCAACACAAAGAAGATCAAGGAAGATGATCTAAAAGATGTTTGTTTTGTCTAAACCGTCATTCTTGTTTCTTCACTATTAGTAGAATAACTGTTTATATGAACTTAGCAGTAATTGTCACGTCAGGGTTCAGCACCAAAGTGCATTGGAGCAACATTGTAGGTTTTAAGACTTTAGTGAGAAAGTGACAGCAGGTGAACAACCAGACATGAAGCAAAATTAATCAGTGCTGACAGCTAACAGAAGGACTGAATAATGGGCAAAACAGGCGGAAACAACAAGCAAAATATGGAGACACAGGTGAACATCCACTAATTACCAGAAACCTCTGGCTGAGGGAGAAAGGGTTTAAATTTCTTCCTCCTCAATTGATTCCTGATACAGTGACACCAGTGAAAGAAGGGAAGTCTGTTGCAGAGATGTTGGAAGCCCCCCCCCACCGTACAAACCTGACGCCAAAGAGCAGAAAGCCCTGGAGAACTCAGTGGTAAAGTGGATTGGGTGTTCTTGTTATGTTTCTTGTTTTCTTTCCCCTTCTGCTCTGTGCTGCCACTGCTCAGCCTAATTGCCACTGATTCCTCTCACCTGTTTGCCAGCCTTCTTAAGCAGGCCTCTGTCTAGTTGACAGTGCCAGATTGCCTGAAAGCCTTGGCTATCCAGCATTTTTCTGTCTGTCTACCTGATCCTGACCTGTTTCTGCCTCCTGATTTTTTAAGCCTGCCTAGCCCTCGTTGGAGCTGTTTTTTGTGCCGCCTGGATCCCTGACCTGTTTCTGTGCCCTGACCTTGTCCCTGGATTCTGTTTTGGATTCTCTGAAAATCTGATCATCTGGCTCTGACCCTGGACCTCCTTTGACCAAGATAGTCTGCCGAGCCTCAGTGAGAATTCTGTGTCAAGCAACCAAAGTTTTCTGGACCCAAGACACCCCACCTGGATATTAAGAAAGGTTAGTGGCTTAGCAGTCTGGACCTATCTCAGCCACTAACCTGTTCTCTCCCCTCCAGAGGCTCTGGCTCCCCCTGATCCTGAAAAACCTGCATTATTCCCTCAATAAATCTGTTAAAGTTATTTCCTGTTGTGTTCTGGTAGTTTCTGGGTCCTCAGTCTGAATCCTAACAGTTCTGGCCTGCCTGCAAGGACCAATGAGGATGAAGACTTTGTGATGAAACAAGCCGACAAAAGGTTCAATGTGTGCAAAGGGATATATGTTAAAAAGAGGATCAGTGTGTGGAGAAGTTTTATTATTTACAGTGTTGACTAAAATTTGACTAAGATTGATTTAAAAAAAGCTGAAGAAATGAACACTGCAGTGATCACAGTGTGAACTCACAGCCTTTTGTAATGAGAGGCAGTAAACATCATTGCCTCACATCCAGAGCCCCCCCCCCCTCACAGATTAACAGCTGTAACTTGGCTGAAGTAAGAAGCTTTGCATCGTTTTAAAAAAACCTGTTATCTGGAGATTCTTGACTCAATTTATTTTTCAAGATTTAGATTTCATAAATGAGAAAATACAGATACGTTTAATTCATGATGTAACTCTATGATGCCCGTATTTTGTTCATTTATACCTTTAGATGTGATTTTTTACAGATACCCGCCGGATACCCAGTGCTGTATGAACCTGGTAGAGATGTATCCCAGCAGAACCACAGCTATAACTGGGAATCAAGGTGTTTCTAAGAAGTGGAATTCATGGTGGCCAAAGATTAAACACTATTTTCACACATAATATGACACAAACAAAGAAATTCCTCCTGTTCATCAACTTCATCAGTCTTCCCTGCTTTAAGTTGATCAGTCGCATAAAATCCTCTAAATATGAATTAAATTCTGAGGAATTCAGGAGACAAAATTCATATTTTTTCAATATAACTTTAAAACGAGTAAACAAGAAAAACTTACATTGCTGGTTGCGCAGAACTGTCTTTGTCCATCTTTAATCTCTGGGCTGAATTTCTGGAGCAAAGCTTTCTGCACTCTCCAGATGGGTGGTGGTTCCCGGCCGGTCTGCAAAGCCATCTAGTAAAAAACACCAATATCAATGTCTTTTATGGGGCCTCGAATTCCTGGCTGTAGTTTGAAGTCTTAAGGGCTTGGTCGTCGTGACGTCTGCACTTTGCATCGCCGCCATGTTGAATGCCTCTTTTACCGCGGCTCAGACTACTGCCTATGACTACCGCGTACTGTACTCCCTCTCAGCCGTGTTTTAATGTGATTAATTTCACCTTAACTTGGTTTCAACCATGGTGAACCGTTGCCGTATTGTGGGCTGTAACAGCTCAACACTTGATCGCCATGGAAACATAGAAAATGGGTTAACTTTCCACCGCTTTCCTGCCTGGAGGCGTAACCACGGAGACCAAGCGTCAGAGATAAAGAGTCGTCGGCTAGCTTGGATCGCAGCTGTAAGACGACCAAAATAACTTTCCACAGTATTCCAATGTCATTGAGAGTGTGTTCCCTGCATTTTCATTCTGGTAAGTTAAAGATGCACGGTTTTATTCTATAGCCTACATTGTTTCTTTCCTTCAAAGTTGGGATCTTTTACGGGAAATAATAAAAACGGCAGCGGGAAAAGGCTCAAATACGTGAGAAACCCGGAGGGTTGGCAGTTAACGTTACTAACTACACCTTTGAAACACATAGCAGCTAGTTAAAAGTACATTACATGCGTGAGTGCTTGTTAGCACTAGCGGTTAGCAGTTGCTAAACTAGCAGGTTCCAGAGCCCGTCTGATCACAGCTTACCTTCGTACGGATTACTGTGTTCCCACTGTTTGCTGGCTTTATGATCTGCAGCTCCTGAACCCATCCATTCATGAACTGCACATGAGACTCCAAGGACTTGTAGCTTCAGAACTGTTTTGAAGTATAGGCGCTCACTCATCGGTGCTCCACTCATTGTTTGGAACTTCATATGGATCCAAATGATTAATAATGCTGATTTTGTCAACATGCCGGTCCCTGGCTTCTCTATTTAATGTGTCCCGGTAAATTCCAGATCCTTTTCGGGATTTTAACATCTTTTTTCTCTCTACTTCTACGTCTCTTCTTTCAACAACAACGTTGTATCAGAGTTATGTTTACGTTCGCGTAGCCGTCAATATGGCCGCCACGTCCCACAATGCAACGCGGATCCCGAGCCCTATAGCTCTGACTTGCTTACAAATTAGTATAAAATAAATTCTCTGTCAATTCTATTCATTTAGCCAGCAGAACTAATGTTAGTAATCTTAAATCTGATTGATTGCCACCAACAGGAAGGCTGGTCAGATTGTTTATATAGGAATAAAACTGCAAAGTTTGAAGTATCTTTGAAGCTGGGCGGTTACCTTAAGAGTCCCGATATCTTCAGTTCGAACCACAAATTCATCTCGCTCACGAAAGATTCCCTCTCCTCCACTTTCACTGTCCTCCTCTTCGCTCTCCCCAGCAATGGCGGCGTCAGCCTGCTTCTTTGCCAGGTGCAGAGAGGTGAGGCGCTGCGAGGTCTCCTCTGGGGTCGGAGGTGACGGTGGCTCGGAGGAAGACGAGGAAGCAGACGGTGAAGAAGGCACCCCAGCTTCCAAATCCTGGTCCTGATCAGAGGACGAAGGGGGCGGTGTGGTGGAAGGAGGTGGAATGGAGCGGGGGAGGCTGGAGAGCGGGGATGATAGGATGGCTGGGGGGGAGGTGGAGGGCGGTGGGGAGGTGCCTGCAGTGGAAGCCTGGTGATATGATAACGGCTGGGCCTCCGCAGTCCAGTATTTACGGTTGGCTTCATCCTCGCCCTGCTGGATGGGCAGCGATGAGGTGGTGAACAAGCTTAAGGAGGGGAGGGATGAGGCTGTGGAATAGGTGAGGGGTGAGGCTGAGACCGAGAGGGGCTGAGATGGGGATGTGGGGGCGAGCACTGGTTCTGATGGAGGATCTGAAAAACAAGATTTTCCAGTGAAAAGCAAACATCAATATTAAACATTAAGCGGAGCCGCTATGGCCCGCCCCATTCATCCAGGGTCTGTGCTGCTGGCTGTCACCATGGAGATCTGAGAGAGAGCAGGGAATTTATTTTCCAAAGTTTTGCAGCAGCACTGCACACTGATGGCAGGTATAAACTCTATTAGTAGGAGAAAGGAACCTTATCGGCTCATGTGAAATAAAACAACTTGGAGGCACAGATACAGTGGAACATCTAGATCAATCAAACTGTAGCCGTCAATCAAGGTTATTTAATCCATTTTTCACTTAGTAACAGCCACAGACCCTGGATTCACAAAAATACTGTTTAGTAGATAATTTGTTTCTTTTATGAAAGAGTCGCCAGCAGACGTTCTCCATGCAGTGGCTTAACGACAGCAAAACAGAAGGAAAACTTTCCTAATCCTAACTTGAATCCAATGAGAAGAAAGACGGGACAGAGGAATGGCTGCAGACCTGTTTACCGGAAATGGTAGCTCCTCACAGGGGTATGATTCCACTCAAAATCTATTTTAAAATCTGCAAGTAACACATTCTAAAAGCCAACTCATCCAATACTGAATCTTGGTCAAAGTCTCCTGCCCATCAGTATGTGACACACCAGGGGTCCCCTTCTCATCACATATTAAGACGCAGGGTAGCTGAAAGGTGACGGACATTGTTTCAGGTGAGGATGCTAACGTACGGCAGCTTTAGGAGTCTGCAGTAAAAATTATATCAGTGTGTGTTCAAGCTTAAGGAGTCAGGCTTAGGGTAAAGGAGGGGTTAGTGGCAGTGGTTAGTGTTGGAGCTACCCTCCAGGGTCTGTCCTGTGGGCTGTCTGGCCTGGATGAGGGATTGGGGGCTAGGGAGGATTGAAGCAAGGACCGGGAAGGTAGGGTTGGTGCCGGCTTGGTGCTCGGGGGGGTCTTCACAACCACTTTTGAGCTTTTCCCCATAGATAAACATTACACACACAAGCTTACCCTCACAAACACCTACAGGTGCTTGGATCCGGTTACGTACTCAGCAATTTTTATCTTCAGCCACTTTATTCATTTCATATTGATTCAGGGTGGATATATTTCAGTGATGGTATCAAGATAATGCTGTATCTGTATCTGTAGTTCTATATCAGTTGCTTGAGCTGTTCTTTTTACATACAAGACAACAATTCTTATTGCTACATTGCCAGGTAGGATGAGGATGCTAACGGCTGGTAGCTTTAGGAGTCTGCAGTAGCATGTATGGCAGTGTTTCTTCAGGTTAGGGGGTTATGCTTAGGGTAAGGGAGGGGATAATGGCAGCGAGATTTTACTTTGGAGTTCATGGAACATTTCCTCTAGTTTCTGCCACCACATTTCACACACCCTGGGCATAAAACAATGAGGAGAGGGGTATGCCGTGTGCGTCACTATGTGACATGCAGCGGGACCAAAATTTGATTAGTCAGAGGTTATGGCTCCAAATGCACAGCCTGAATATTCTCTCTCCTATAGAAATATAGAAGTAGACCTGAACCCATCCTGTGACAGGTCTGATGAAACATTAGTGATGGTAAGTTCACTCTGCTGGTCAAGGTTAATTTTACATTTCTAAAGGTAAATGAGGCTTTCTATCTAAGGCTGGTCAGTAGATCAGCTTTGTGCAGGCTGTAAACCTGTCTTTATAAAGCCAGAGCTTTAGTAGATCTGGGTCTTACAGGTACAGGCTTTGCTCTCCTGGATCAGTGCATGACCCAAACAGCAGAGTAATCCCTCAGCTCATCCTTCTGCATTACCTTCAGCTTTCGGAGCATCCAAACTTTCAGTCAGTTTCTCCTCTTCTTGGCTGTCATGGTCTCCTGTCTCTTTCATTATCTCTTTATTCTCAGTTTGCTCCTCCTCCTCTTCTTCTTCACCTTGTTGTTCGTGATCTCCCTCCTCGGTTTTTAGTCTGCTTGGCGGTGGGGTGATCAAATCCTGCTCCTCGCCCTGTACGTCATCCTGGCTTTGCGTCAGAGTCTGATTATTCATGTTCCCCACAGTGGGAGTGAGAGGAGGCAGGGCGGACAGAGGGGGGCTGAGAGACGGCTCCTGGGGTGTCGGGGGTGAGGGGCTAGGCGGGGTCTTGATGATGGTGGAGGCCATCACAGCAGCCAATGCATGCGGGGTGTCGTAGAGAGCCGATATGGCGGATGAGATACTTTTCTGCAAGTCCTGGTTTTTACTAACAGAGTCCTCCTCATCTGAGGAGAAAGATGGCAGCGTCTCTAGGTTCCGCTTCAGGTCGTCATCCAGAGGCTTGGAGGGACTAGAGCAGCCGCTAAGCGCTAAGTCATTCCCCCCACCCTGCCCCTCCTCATTGAATGCTTCTAGAGGTGGAGAAGGTAGTGGTAGGGATGGAGGGGATGAAGACAGAGGCCTGATCCCCCCCTTCAAAGAGGAACAGGCGTCCAGGGCTTCCAGTGTGAGGTCAGACTCCTTCCTTCCTGTCCTTAGGGAGTCCAGAAAAGACGCCATTAATCCAGGTCTGAAGTCAAAGTCTTTCTCCTCAGCCTGGAAAAAAGAAGATCTCATTAGTGCCTGTATTCAACATGTTGTGAAGACTTTTTTTTTTACCTTTATTTAACCAGGAAAAAAATCCCATTGAGATTAAAAAGCTCTTTTTCATATATACATAAGTATTATATATATATTATATAATACTTATATATAAGTAAAACAATTACAGATCATTGAGGCTGCTTCAAATTCTTTCACTTTCAACTTAAACTATTTTTAAGATAAAAACTCAGTCAACTTCCTGCTTCTTTGTAAAATATTCCCCCCAGAAGGAGCAGCGTAGCTAAAGGCTTTCTTCCCCAGGTCTGTTTGGGCAAAATGAACAGAGAACAACAGCTGATGGTGGATCTCAGGGCAGAAGAAGCCGCGCTTTACTGAAGAAGAAAGGTACAAAGGTAAGAGGGCAGTAATCCAAGAAGGGCCTCGGAAATAAAAGCATAGCAATGACACTGCCTTCTGGTAGAGAGGGAAGGCCATCCCACCTGAGAGGACAGGTACCAGTGATGTCATCGCTCTACAGTCTGTGATGAACCTTAATGCCGCATGGGGACCAGAGTCCAACATTTGAAGACAGGAAGAAGAAGCATTCTTATATAAAAGGTCACCAGAATCTAAGACCGATTAAAACGTGGCAGAGACAAGGCGCTTTTTACTCCAAAAGAAAAACGTCTTATTACGGAAGAAAAAGCCCAGTTTAACTTTTCATTTCTTAACAAGTTTATGAATCATTAAGGTTGTTATTAGCTCAATTCATTTTAATTTCAACTCAGTATATATAGCTCCAATTCACAGCCCAAGTCATATAAAATATCAGATTAAGTGGGATACCTGTAGGTGAGCAGAATGCCATTTTCTATCCAGTTACTTAGCATTGTGCTTTAAATTACTAACTCTAAATTAAACAAAGGAACCAGCATCCTATTATTGAAGTCCTTCTTTTTCAAAGTGGCTGCATTGTGAAGGGAATAAACTAGGCTTTTGCACTTTGCAGCACTGCTCAGCGACACAGAGCAAAGAGAAAGTGGAGAGGAGAACTTACATTTGAACAAAGCCAATAGTGTCTAAGATAGCATTAAAAGCTGCACCTAAGTTATCACATTCAATGTCACTATTTAACTTGGTCACAAACAAACATAACTGAACTAAAACTGTAAGAAGTTTGGGGGAAATGATCCAAATACTTGAGAAGAAACCATTCTGACATCATCATTACGCTATACAATACTGCTGAAGAAGAAAAGGATCAAGAGGGAATGGCATAGTTCATTTGAAGAAAGAGAACTCTGCCAAAGGTCACTTTCCACATCAAGGCTGTGACCTATCTATCTATCTATCTATCTATCTATCACATCAAAGGCATTGATGATCTATACTGTTAATTGGATGGATAGTTGAGGCCACCCCCAGCATGGAAGCACCCACCCTGGTGATGATCTTGTCCCCTTGATCTCATCCTATGCATGTGTTAGAGTGATAGAAGGTGATAGGAAGCATCAAAGATGGGGAGCAAAGAACTGGGGAACGGGGTTATCCTGTTCTCCACCCTCCAGCGGAGCAAGGCACCAGATGAGGACAACATCCCTGACCTCCAGCACAGACCCCACCCAAAGACAGGCAACCCTATGGACCCCAGGTTCCTGTATACCTACCCAGGCATGACGTAACCACCAGGCTGGTAACCTATTTCAGCTGGTAATCTGAAAAACCATGCACCCAGCCTCAAAAAGTTCCATCCATCCATCCATCCATCCACCCATCCATCCATCCATCCATCCACCCATCCACCCACCCACCCATCCATCCACCCATCCACCCATCCATCCACCCATCCATCCATCCATCCATCCACCCATCCATCCATCCATCCATCCATCCATCCATCCACCCATCCACCCATCTTCTTCCACTTATCCGGGGTCAAAGTTTGCCCGGGCCGAATGTCCCTACCTCTTTGCTGTCCTGGAAACGTTTGGGTGTTGCCATACATTTCTGTCCTGGATTAAGCTGCTGTACAATAATCCCTGTGCTAAGATACTAACAAATCGGACATTTTCGGCTCCCTTCCAGCTGGATAGAGCTTCTAGACAGGGTTGTTCTCTTAGTCCATTACTCTTCGCCCTAGCCATAGAACTGCATGCATCTGTGCACATCCCGGGATACATGGCTACCATACCGAATGCACTAAGAACAAGATCTCTTTGTATGCAGATGACTCGTAATCGTACTCGTTGTCTCCCGCTTTATCCGGAACCGGGTCACAGGGGCAGCTGACTAAGCAGAGACTCCCAGACTTCCCTCTCCGCTGACACCTCCTCCAGCTCTGTCAGGGGAAGCCCTAGGCGTTCCCAGGCCAGCCGAGAGACATAGTCTCTCCAGCGTGTCCTGGGTCGTCCCCTGGGCCTCCTCCCAGTGGGACGTGCCTGGAACACCTCCCGAGGGAGGCGTCCAGGGGGCATCCGAAGAAGATGTCCGAGCCACCTCAACCGACTCCTCTCGATGTGGAGGAGAACCGGCTCTACACTGAGCCTCTCCCAAATGTCCGAGCTCCTCACTCTATCTCTAAGGGAGAGCCCAGCCACCCTGCGGAGGAAGCTCATTTCAGCAGCTTGTATCCGGGATCTCGTTCTTTCGGTCATGATCCAGATGTGACCATATATGAGGGTAGGAACGTAGACCGACCGGTGAATTGAGAGCTTTGCCTTTTCGCTCAGCTCTCTCTTCACCACGACAGACCGATGCAGCGTCCGCATTATTGCAGCAGCCGCACCGATCCGTCTATCGATCTCCCGCTCCATTCTTCCCTCACTCGTGAACAGGACCCCAAGATACTTGAACTCCTCCACTTGAGGCAAGGACTCTCCTCCAACCTGAAGGGGACAAGCCACCTTTTTCCGGTCGAGAACCATGGCCTCGGACTTGGAGGAGCTGATTCTCATCCCGGCCGCTTCACACTCGGCTGCGAACCGCCCCAGCGCACGCGTTAGGTCTTGGCAGGAGGGAGCCAGCAGAACTACGTCATCCGCAAAGAGCAGGGACGAGATCCGCTGGTCCTCAAACCAGACCCCCTCCGGTCCTTGGCTGCGCCTAGAAATCCTGTCCATAAAAGTTATGAACAGGACCGGTGACAGAGGGCAGCCCTGTCGGAGTCCAACATGCACCGGGAACAGGTCCGACTTAATGCTGGCAATGCGAACCAGACTCCTGCTCCGCTTGTACAGAGAACGGATGGCCCCTAATAAAGGGCCCCCGACTCCATACTCCTGGAGCACCCCCCACAGGGCAGCACGAGGGACACGGTCGAATGCCTTCTCCAAGTCCACAAAACACATGTGGACTGGTTGGGCAAACTCCCAAGAACCCTCTAGCACCCTGCAGAGGGTGTAGAGCAGGTCCACCGTTCCACGGCTAGGACAAAAACCACACTGCTCCTCCTGCGGCCGAGGTTCGTCAATCAGCCGGACTCTCCTCTCCAGCACCCTGGCATAGGCCTTTCCGGGGAGGCTGAAAATTGTGATTCCCCGATAGTTGGAACACACCCTCCGGTCCCCCTTCTTATGGAGGGGAACCACCATCCCAGTCTGCTAATCCAGGGGGACTGTTCCCAACCTCCACGTGATGCTGAATAGACGTGTCAACCATGACAGCCCAACAACATCCAGAGCTTTAAGATACTCAGGATGGATCTCGTCCACCCCCGAAGCCTCGGTGACTTCAGCCTGGGTGATGAACGAATCCAGCCCCAAGCACCCCGTCTCTTCTTCCCCCATGTAGATGACATATTGCTATATATCACAGAACCACCCGTAACCAACCCTTCAGTATTGGAGGTCTTTAGCTCGTGTTTTCTCTGGGTATTGGATTAATTGGGGTAAAAGTGAACTGTTACCAATACGTTTGGTAGATCAGGAGCGGCTCAAACAGCTTCCTCTGTGGGTAGTCCAGGACAGCTTAACTTACCTAGGAGTGACAATTACCAAGAACTAAAGCACCTTCTATAAGGCCAACTTTCCAGCCTTGCTAAGAAAACTGGAGCACAACGTTCAGCTTTGGAGAATGCTCCCAATTTCCCTTTTGGGAAGAGTCAATGTCATTAAAATGATCTTTCTCCCTCAGATACTTTACCTTTTTCAAAACCAACCTATATTTCTCACTAAACCTTTCTTTAAGAAAATAGACTCCATCATTCTTCCTTTTATATGGACCTACAAAGCACACAGAATTAGAAAAGAACACCTCTGTAAACATAAATTTGTTGGAGGGCTGGCACTACCCGACTTCAAGCATTACTGCTGGGCTGCACTCTATCGCACACTGGTTGGAGGATGACCCTTCACCTTTCAATGGGTTGGAGACGGAGCATGAAGATTGTTTACTGCATTCAATAAGAGCAGGTATATTAGCACATGTGACGATCTGCAGAACATTTTACAAGAATAACCGTATAATTCATGATACTATTAGGACATTGAAACAACTGAAAAAGCATTTCAATCTTGGTGTGCTGTCCTCTCTGCTGCCAATAGCCGACCCGACCTTCATCCCCTCCGCTTTGGATGGAGCATTCGATGTGTGGAGGGAATCTGGGACAAGAAGCTTTGGGGACTTTTACATTAAGGGCACATTTGCCTCTTTTTAACAACTCCAGGAGAAAATTGAATTACCAAAGAACCATTTCTTCAAATATCTTCAGATTAGGAACTATGTTAAAACATTTGTTAAAACATGTCTCCCTGACTTTGAAATGGTAACACCAAATGCTTTGGAGATCTCCATTAAAACAAATGCCCTAAAAGACAAATGGGAAACGGAACTTCAAACTCAAATACCTTAGTTTGTGTGGGAAGAATGCCTTGAACACATACATGACTGCTCCATTAACACCCGACACAGTTTGATACAATTTAAAATTCTACATAGGCTACATTACTCCAGACATTGTGCGAGAAATTTGAATGCGCAGAGGCTACCTTATCACACACACACTATGTCATGAACTGCAAAAATATTGGGGCGATATATTTAATTTCCTGTCCAGGATTCTGGAAGTCCGGATAATCCCAGATCCTGTTCTGATCATTCTGGGAATATCTGATGAGCTCTTAAAGTTTACTGCAGCACAACGGCGCCTCCTTTCATATGGTGTTATAACTGCCAAAAAACTGATCCTTTTACATTGGAAGGAAAAAGAAGTGGCCTCATTTAAGTGCTGGCTATCAGACCTGACCGACACCTTTCACCTGGAAAAAATATGATGCATTCCAAAAGAAAAACTGAGGGAGCCGTTGGTCTCTTCCCTTCAGTCAATAAACAACTAATGTGACCAAAGCGTAGCACTCCTGGGGGAGGGTGGGGGGTCCTGTAGCTCTTGTATTTGATACTTCATTTCTTTACAGCAGGATACTTTCTGGTTGTTTTTTATTTTCGGTACTATCATCATCATTGTGTTAATGTTATTGTTTATTACGGTATGTCTTTACTATCCTTATTTTTATAATAGATGTCAGAAGAAATGTTTCACAATAAATATGTTTGAAAATAAATGCTTTTCCTGCGTCTCGTGATAATATGCTGGTTTTAATGTTTTCACTGTCGGAATAATCTATTAGATTTATTAATCTGCGTTCACTGGTAGATGCAGGCCTTCCCTTAATGAAGCCACTTTGATCGGATGTTGCAGGAGTTTCACCAATAATTCTAAGGTCATCGTTAATCAGAGAAATGGGAATTCTACTGCAAATCCATCAGGGAGTTTTTATCTATTGCACACTGTTGGGTTTATTATTTATCCATCATGTGCATTTTTATTCTGTTAGCCAGATTAGACAGAGTAGAAGGCCTTCCTTCACATGGTGGATGTCACTGTGTGTACGGAGGCCATCTAACCAGGACAGCCTTCGTGTCTTTAGAAATACACAGGATATGAGCACATCTTGGAGCCGGACTGATAAAAGAGAGCTATGTGTAATCCTGGGCTAAAGAGGCAAGATGCATGAAGGTCAGGGCATGGATGGCGTCTCAGACAGCTGAGCAGTTTGTATCAGTTATGCTTTCCACATATCCAGCCTTAACCCTTTACAGGGCACTCAATGAAATGCTTTTTAAAATCCCAAATATTACCTTAGTAACATTTTTAAAAATATGTATATTTTGATGGTCAGGGTATTGACAACAAAATGTAACTTGCCATAAAATAAAATAAAATAAAAAAACAAAAGTTATTCCATAAGAGCTTTATGAAAAACACTAAGAGATAAAGAAACACATTTTTATTTTGTTAAAAAATAACCTTAGAAAATTAATTCTGACAGACACACCTACATTTTGTTACTTTTTTACGCTGCGTATTAACTTTTTGACATAACCTTTTAACTTTTCAATTAGAGTTTTGCCTTTTTTCTTAACTTGTTACCTTTTTTTCAACTGAAGTTACTGTAGGTGACATCATCCAAGGGCTCATCTAATTGGTCAAATGCCAAACTGACATGTGCAGCCACGTAGTAGTATCTTTGCTGAATGGCTGGATATGAATCTTTTTAGCTTCTAGACCTCAGTGACAGATAGGAAATACAAGCAACCAAAAGCAGCAGCTAGCCCTATAAAGGGTTAATAGAAGAGAATCAGAATCAAAGCCTTCAGAAATCTTTCATGAGGCCCAACTTGTTAAAACCAGGCATGATTCCAGCTAAGGAACAGATATTAGCAGCACATTTGTACTGCGTGACTGAACTGTTAAACCTACTGCTGTCTAAGACATGCAGTGGTCTCACAGATAAATAGACTTTATGTATTTTGCCTTGGTGTCTCTCAGAAAAAGGTTGTTAAGGAGACATGAAGACAATAAAGGCTCTTGAATGCTGATAAAACTGTTTTTTCACTATAAGAATCTAATGAAGAGATTTCCTGGTGCTCTGCAGCTAATTTCAGCAAACAGCCAGCAGGTGGCAGCATGGGGCCTCTTCAGAAAACTGCAGTAACTGTGGCAACAGCTGCCGTGGCAACTAGCATCTCTCTGCACTCTATTCTGTCATCCAGACATAGCTGGCTGTCAGTCAAACCCCCCCACGCCCCCCACCCCTTAAATCAGATTCTGGGACCCAACAGGAAACACGTTCATACATGCATCCATGTTTGGTTGATCTGAGGCTGGGAAGGAGCTGGCCGCCACCTGAGCTGTGAATCTATTACAGAATCTCCTTCCTCCACCAGAAGCATTAGTTTGAAGAGATGAGCTATGAATTATAGATGAGGCTTTGCTGGTTTTGCAGAGGATATAAAGAAACTTACTGAAGTGGAGAGTTTGTGCAGATCAGCCCAGGATTCAGCGTCTGTTTCCTGTTTCCAGTCGTAAACCATCATCTGCAGTGAAGTCAGAAAGATGCTTTTGTTAGGAGAGAGGTTTGACTTTAGGGTTTTAATAGGCCTGTTTAATGCTGCTGTTGTCCACAGCGCGCGCTGACTTCCTTCTTTGCTTCTAAATCCAACTATTTATTCAGCTGATTGTAATATTTAATTAAAAGAACAACAGATCTTCACAGCAGAATTAAAGGCATCAAATAAATGAAAATGTCCTTTTCTTAGAAAGCAGCTTTTTAACGTCAGGGGTCTCAAAAGAATATCCTCACTGTTGGTGGTGAGCCCCCTCTGACCATCAGCAGCTCCATTATCTGTTATTCTATTATTCTGGTTCTTTGGGACTCAAAAGAACCACAATGAGAACCCTGATCCAGAACCTGGAGACCCCAGAGGAACACTAAAGACCAGAACCACTGCTGAACCAAAACAACCAAAAAGAAATGTTAATAGAATAGACATCCATTATCTGTTCTAGGTTGTGTCCCTCTCTTCTTGTCCCTTTTCTTCTTGTTTTCCTCTCTATGTTTTGTACTCAGCTGACTTTTCATGCTGTCTCTAAAGGAATGAAAGATTTTTTCCAAGCACTAAGCTCACTTAGCTGATTGCTCCTTCCTGTGTTTCCAAAAAGGCCAAAGTAAATAACCCAGTCCTTCTTTTCACTGTAGACAAGCCATGATCTGCTTCTCTGTTCTCCATTTTTCATTTGGATGAAATAATAGCTGCATGAATCATGACAGCAGACAAGATAGAGGAGAGCAGGAGGCGGGGTTACCAATCTACTCGCTCTGGAGAGCAGAGTTCGCTGCTTTTAGATGTTGTCTCCAAAGTCTCCAGTAGCAGAAAAAAGTCTCTAGATTTGGCGCTAGGAGCTTTTTAGAAATCAAAGTGCTAGAGGGGTCTGAAAAGTGGCTAAATATAGCGACTAAAGCGCTAAGTTGGCAACACTGCTCTTTGCATGGTTTGTTTTCAAATGGTTTGCTGCTGTCTGTTTGGACCTTTCTGAAC